GGGGGGGGGGCTTACCTTGAAGACGTAGATGCGGAAGACGTTGGTGGCGATTTTGCCTCGCTCCACCTGACGGTCGCCATAGCTGCACGGATGGATAAACAGAGGCACATAAGAGCCGCGTCATGGCGTGTGTGTATGTGTGTGTGTGAGTTGGTTACGCGACAAACTCGCTGATGATGGACATGATCGTGTTGACGGCCGAGTTCGTGATGTTGACTTCGTCCTCGATCGCTATGTCGATGTCGCCACGGGCGTGTTTGGCCAACAGGTCACAGCAAACCGACGCAACCGTCTTGTCGCACGCTACCTGCACACATCCATCCATCCACACACCGAGTGAGGGCCTCATTCACTCATCCATTCAGCCACCGCCAACTCTTTCGTCGCGCTGCGCCATTTTGTACAGAGAGTTCAGGCAGCCCGGCAGACCAATGTCGGCGAATCTCTCAATCTTGAGCAGCCGGTCGTCGCCCATGAGCGTGACGATGGCGGGCACCCAGCCGGCCTCGATGAGGGCGTGCACATGCTCTCTGGCGTGCTTGTTGAGAGACGGATCTGAATGAAGCGTCAACACACACAGACCCATTCATCCATCATTCGTCTGTGTGTCCGTGTGTGTGGGTTGCCGGCCCACCTGATAGATGCAACGCGACGAAGTTGGGCTCCATGATGTTGAACTCGATCTGCTGGTTGCGTGTCAACTTATCTCGGCTGTCCACGGCAGTGCCGGCCGTCTTGAGCAGTGATGCCATGGTCTTGAGGGCGCATGGATGCGCCAGCAACACACGAACAGGCTCACTCAGCACTGAATCACAGACAGGGGCACACACAGGGAGACAGCTTCATGGTGCAAGGTGCGTCAAAGGCGTGATGGCTTCTCACCTTCGTCGACACGGGACTGAATGAATGGGTCGGGGTAGTGTTTGATATACGACGCGTGCGCAAGGTAGAAAATGGACCCGATCATGCTCATCGCCAGCCGCCTGGTGTTGTCGTCGTTGCTGGTCGTCATGACCTCGACGAGGCGACCGACACGCGGCACCAGATGCTCCTCAATCGCCGCAAACAGCTCGGCATCGCGACCTGACAGACGTGTGCAACACATACACATATGTGTATATCATTTGAGTCCACTCACCGTTCTCCACTGAGTGCACGACGTTCCCATTTACATCCCATCGCAGCCGGTCCAGCAAGAAAGTATCGTAATGAGCATAGCGGGCGGCCGAGCCGTCTATGGTGATGTCAATGGCCAGGCTCACCAGCCGCATCCACGACAGGACGGCGCACGAGTCGGGAGCCAATGGCTGGTAGAAATGGATGAGGAAGAGTACTCCGTAGCCGAGTCCATACAGACGCGGTGCGTGGCGCAGGATGGACTCGGCACGGTGCAGGAACGCCTCGTGCTTGGTGACGATGATCTCGCGGTAGTCCACAGGTGACCGCCGCTCCTCGATGCCCACGAAGGACGCAGGCACTCCGCCCGCATACACCGCGATCACCTCGAGCAGGATGGCATAGACGGCGTTGTCAATATCAGTGCTGGCTGACGCATCCGTGGGGAGGAGCAGCGCCATGTTGTCGAGCAGCTGCTTGACCAGATCTGGCTGCGCAGATCTGAAGCAGAAGGGGTAGCCCGCCTGGAGCAGCTTCGAGAAGGCGATGGTCGCCCAACGACGGCACCGACGGCTCCTCGCACTCTGCAGACAGCACAAACACAAACACGAGGTGCATGCGCTTCACATTGGCCACATGCCCTCACGACACAAAAGTACCTGGATCATGGCGAGGAGTGGTTGATGCGGCGAATTCGCGCCCTTGGCGAGCGGCGGCAGCAGCTTCCTTAGCCTGGTGGCCTTCTGCTGCCCAGCGGCAGTGTTCTTGTCAAAGTGGAGGTTGGAAACGAGATCTTCCAGGAGCGGCATCAGCGCCTCACGGTCAGCGGTTGGCGATATCTCATGCAGCCGCTGGCTGAGAGAATCCAGCTGACTCGACAACGAGGCCGTCATGCTGGCAGATGCAGACGATCAGACGCTAGAGGGTGCCATCTCTTTTCGGTGCTTAGCTCGCAAATTTCTTGTGAGGGTTGAACCAATCCCCTTTCCTTGTTTTAGGAGTCAGTGCGGTGCTCCAGGTCTCGTTGACAAAGTAACGATTCGAATTTCAGTGCAAATTGTCGCATTCACACGTACAAGTCAAGTACACATCCGCAGATCACCACCGACCGGCACCAAAACGACAAACGAAGTGAGTCAACGTACACACACATGTACATATACATACTGAGATGTGTACACACAAATATACAAATATACAAATGTATACGTATACGGAAGACATGTACGTACGTAAATCGCCTGCTGCGGCCCTCTTCCCTCCGACACACCATCGACGGTCGACGTCACTGGCTCACTCGCCTGCAGCAGGCCAGAGGGCGAATGCCTGTGCGATTTCCTCAGCTCGACACCGCATGTGCTGCTCCTCGCGGGACGCAGCGTAAAGCCAATCCAGCTGCTGAAACACCTGCATCCACTCACAAGCACACAACACTGCTGTCCCGACTGCAATACGCGATCATGCTTGTGTGGCCGGCTGTGTATATCACCTCTCTGGGCAGCCTTTGCAGGCCACGCGGCATGGTCATGAGCTCCTTGATCGACGGCAGCTAAGAGACGAACACACAGGCGTCACGCGTCCAGGGAGATATCAGTGCATGTCCAGTTGTGCGGGAGCGTACCTGGAGGACCAGAACCCGAGGCACGTTGGTACTGAGCTTCCCCTGGTCAATCTGCCGCTCGCCGTACCTATGCAAAAATGCACGCACACGCGCACACACGTGCGTCGAAATGTGTGCGTCTTTGGTGTGTGTATGTCCTTACGGCACGAATTCGTTGATGAGCCACAATATGGCATTGATGACCGACTCAGGGTTCTGCATGTCGCTCTCCTCGATCATGTCGATGTCGCCGCGGGCGTGCTTGACGAGCAGCTCACATACCGCACCCACGACGGACACACCGGACGTCTCACACAACACCTGCAGACACAAACACAGCAGCACTGGTGGATGCCCTGCCCTTGCTGCCTCACCACTTCCCCATCCACCTGTTCGTCGCACTGAGCCATGTTGTGCAGTGCGTAAATGCAGCCCGGCAGGGTGTACTTGACGAAGGCCTCGATCGACAGCAGCCGGTCGTCGCGGATGAGCCCGACGATGGCACGCACCCAGCCAGCCTCGATGAGGGCATTCAAGTGCCCTTCTGCGCCCTCGTGGAGGGACGGATCTGAAGGTCGACAACGCACAGAGCCACCAAGGTTGTGGTTGCCTGTGCGTCGGGTGTGTGTGGGGGTTGAGGACCTACCTGACAGGTGATTGGCGATGTACAGGGGCACGTGCATGTTGGAGATGACGTCGTCTCCGCCGGCGTGTGTGTCACCCAGCAGCATGGCCATGGTATTGAGCGCCAAGGGATCCGCCGACAACACACGGACCGGCTGGCGCAACACTGAGCGACCACACACATCACAGAGTGTGAGCAGAACACATCTCTCGTCTTTTCCCTCTCCAGACGTACCTTTATCGACCTCCGCCTGGACGGACGAAGGGGCGCATCCCTCGATGCACGGCTTGTAGGTGAAATAGAAGATCCAGCCGATAAGGCTCATCGCGCGCCGCTTCAGCGCCACATCGCCGCTCCACGTGAGCACCATCACCAGCGGGCCCACACAGGGGGCCAGGTACTCCTCGATTGCAGCAAACACCTCCACCTCGCGGCCTGACAGTCAGTCGACCAAACACATACACCAACACCAACACCAACACCAACACACACACACACACACTGGATGGCGGGCAGGTCAGTCAGGCCACATCCGCGTGTGGCCTCACTTCGCGCACCTGCACGGATGGCGCCGCTGATGTTGACGTCAGCGGTCCTGAGCATCGAGTCGGCCACGTCGAGCTCGTGTGGAGCCGGCTGCCGCAGGCTGACACCGATGGCCACACCTGCACAGAGAGAGCACCAGGTCCACACAGTGAAACAAACACGCAGAGCCGGCATCCAGCCACACCCATCAGACGCATCCAGCAGCCAACGGAGCAGGAGGGCGGCGCGAGAGGCTTGTAGAAGGACAGAAGAAAGAGGACGCTGTGCTGCCTCAGGTCATCGCAGCTCTGCAGGAGGATCTCGGCGCGGCGCAACAAAGCCTTGTGCTGCGTGAGAATGACGTCGCGGTATTCGGTGCCGTCCGCAGCGGTTGCGCCGATGACCTGGTAGCAGCACGACGGGGCAATGCCGCCCCGCGTCGTGGCGATGACTTCGAGTAAGATGATGTAGATGGCCTCATCAGCGGCGGTCAGGTGAGGGGCGTCAGGGATGATACTCTCCAGAGCCGCTAGGAGGTGCTCGCCCAGATAGTATGTCTGCGGCTTGATGACGAAGGTCAACCCGAGCTTGACGAGCTTGGCGATTGCCACGGCGGCAGCCTCACGGCACGCGGGACTGTAGCTCTGCAAAAGAGATAGATAGATGCAAACACACGACACCAGAGAGAGTCAAAGCGGCGCGCCTTCTTGCTTCTGGCTGCCTGCCTGCCTGCCTGCCCGCGGACCAGATGCAGAATGGCGAACAGGTATTGGTGGAAAGCCTTCGCGCGTTTCGCCAGCCGACTCCTCACCCTTCGGCAGCGCCCTCCCCCGAGCCCTTCGAAGTGCAAGAGGGTTGTGAGTTCGCGAAGCAGGGGCATCACGACGTCAGCGCCATGATCCGCATAAAGCTCCAGCCGCCGGCTGAGAGAATCGAGCTGACGAGCGATGCACTTACGACTCGGAGTCAGCAGGGATTCTTTCGCTTTCGTGGTGGTGGCGGACAGCGGTCTCCTTTGCTTCCCCATGCTGGCAGATCTTCGCAATTTGTCAAAGAGTCCGAGTTGCTTTTCGGCTTTCGTAGCTCGCGGAGATCGCGATGCATTCGTTCGTTCGTTAACCTCACGGGGACCTTGCCCCCCGGCCCCCCGAAGGGGTACGCAAGAACGAGTCTGTGTGGTGCAGGCTGTCTACCCACCCATCCCTATGGTCCACCACAAAAGGAAAGGCACTGGCACCGGCCGACATGCAGATGACAATAGAGGGCACAGATGACGAACACTTCCCCTGGCTACATACACAAGAACGAGCGATATCGCCCGACAGCATGAAGCCCTGGCAAGTGTACAGAAGCCAGAGGAAGCAAGCGAAACATGGAAGCCCACTGAGCCATCCAACGCAACAAACAACAATCAGGTGAACACACCACCATGTACACGCGGAAAACAACAGAAGCGCCCCACCCATCCACCCACAGCAGCCAACCAATAGGCAGACAGAGAGAAAGGGAGAGAGGCGATGCATGCTTGGAAAGGCTTGGATTCGATGGCTGCGAGAGGCCTGCTGTTTGGTGTGCGCATACATAGACGAGGAAGGCATGTGTTCATGTCATCAAGTTGGTTCTCTCCGGGTAGTACATACAGTACAGCAGTAGTACATGACGTACAGCACTCTGCAAGTACAAGCGAGACAAGTGTGGCTAATCGAAGCACTGCCTGAACACCAAATGACTGAATGACTGACCGACTGACTGACTGACGCGCGAAATGAATGACTGGCTGCTACACGCAGCGTGGTGTGTTGATCGGGAAAGCCCGACCAGACAGACGGAATAACGCGTCAATTAATGTACAGCTAACTGAGTGGTACTCGAGTCGCAGTCACTGTCTGAACATGTCCACTACACATCGCATCACATGTAACATGACCGTCGCTGCTCACCCTCCAGCGATGGCCTCCACGATCTGCATGAACCCATGCAGAAACCCCCCCTCCCGGGAAGGATGGCCCTGGACGTTGGTTTGGGGTGGCTCTGCCCCCCGCAAGGTGCCGTCAGTGCTGTCACTTTGCTCTGGTGGGGGCGGGTCGAGGGAGAAGAACTCCTCGTCGCCTATTGACGCGGTCGGAGATACCACCTGGGGGCACCAACACACATACGGCCGGCGCGTTGACGCACCCACCCCGCCACCCTTGCACAGTGCTTTGGTTGCCTACCGCGCCCTCGTCGCCCTCGCTCATCTCCCGATCAGCAGCACTGTCGAAAACCTCAGCCGGGAGATGCTTGCGATATAGGCTAAGTACCTGATACGAGAGAGCCTGATACGAGAGAGCCAAACCGATTGCACCGACCATCCAGCCATCCAGCCATCCGTCCATCCATCCATACCATTTTGCGTCGGACAATGTCCATCAGGGCGGTCTGGTCCTGGGACCAGTCGCCGGTGAGGCGGAGGAACGAGCTGCGGGGGCGGACACTAGCAAACGGACTGATACACACACACACACACACACACACATGCTCACTCACGCAAGTCGACCCCCGTCCCATGGCTGCCTGCCTCCTTTCCTTGTTTGGGCGCTTACGTTCTAGTCATTAAGCAGAAGCCGAACAGCAGCATCCATATGCCGCTGTCCTCCTCGTACGCCTGCTGCTGCAGATCCAACTGCATACACACACAAGAAATGGGACATGGAGGCCTTGTGTGTGTATGTGTCTGTACCTCATCATCTGCCTCGCACCACTGTCTGAACTCGCCAAATGGCATCTCGCGGTGAAACAAGTCCCTGTAGGCGTCTTTCATATAGTCAATCATGAAATGGAGGAAACTGCATTACCACAACAGACAGACAGACACATACACAGACAGACAGACACGTTCGGCACATTCTGTCTGGACATGTGTGTGTGTGTGTGTGTGTGTACTGGAAGCTGGTATCCTCGCTGGGCAGCATGTCCGTGTCTAATACCCCCACCCGTCTCCTCCTGCAGGCAACAAGGCACACACACAGACAGGCACATTTCTCGTCGTTCGTTCGTTCGTTCGTTCGCGAGTGTGTGTGTGTGTGTGTGTCAGTCCCTCACGTCGACAAACCCTAGCGACCAGTGCCCATGATCACAGATCGGCACGGCCAGATAGTCTACCTCAAACACGCTTATCTGAATGACACAAACATACGGACGATGGGCGTGTTTGTGTTTGTATGCGTCGAGGGCTTCGGTGCAGCTGGGTGGTTGGGTGACTGGGCGGCTCACTTACGCCCTGGATGTTGTTGTGGCTCTTGACGGCTTCGTAGTTGTATTTGTACCCGTCGTCGGGGCCCGCCAGGCTCTGCCAGAAGTCTGTGGTGGTGAAGCGGACACGTGGCAACCTGCCGCAAACACACACACACAGACACACAGAATACGTGTTGGTCGGAACGCAGTGATAGGGTGTGTGCAGGTCGCTCACAGTCTGCCCGACTGTCTGAGCTGGCTCTGTCTTTCGGCCGCCAGGGTGAACACGGCATCCACTACCTCATTATCCACCACAGACCCGTCACCCAAAGCAGCGATGTTATGGCTGAACACACACACGCACAAACAGACAGAGACTTTGCACCGCCTCTCATTCCCCCTTTCCCTCTCATATTAGTGCGACTGGCGGGTGTACCCGTTGATGGTGATGTGTCCGATGTCTGAGATGAAGCTGCGGGGGTACTTGCCGCCCGCCCGGACAAGGCGCTCCGCCAGCGCCAAGTCGTCGGGCGGCAGACTCGCATACCATGGCACCGATGATCCGACCTGCATTGCATCAGGCAGGCACATGTATGCACACGTGCCATGATGTGGCTGCTTTGACTGCTTACCTCGCCCTGGTCGCCCTCTCCCCCCTCGCCCTCGCCCTCGCCCTCGCCCTCATCATCAACCCACAGTGGCGGCGGCGGCAGTTGCTCTGCCCCAGCGCCGTCCTCGGTGCCGTCCATCCACCACAACCGTGCAGAGTGGGGCTGCTGTCCCCGTGGCTCTTCTTCGTCGGGCTCGTCGATGGGATCGTCTGGGTCGTCACGGACTGCAGTCAGTGCAGGACAAGAGAGTTGAGCGACAAGCATAGTGCGCTCTCGTGCGCTCGAAGCGCTTACGGAAGTGCTTCCTCTGGAGCTCCTCCTGGAGCTTCCGCATGCGCCTCTCCCGCGCCGCTTCCTCCAGACGCCGCCTCGACTTTGGCTTCTTGGGCTTCGCATTCGGAAACGGCGGCGCGTCCGGGAACAACTCTGCATGCACACACGCACAAGCAAACAAGCACACGTTTGCATGCACTCTTGCGTCATGGACCATAATGAGATTGGTCTCACTGATCAGGTCTTGGAAGCGAACACGCCCTTGAAGCCGGACAGGCTCTCTCGGCTCACGCCCAGCAGGAGCTCTCTCTTTCGGCAGATGCTTCACCATCTTTCTCTATATCTCTGTCTTTTGTTGTGTGTGTGTGTTTGACGGCACTTGGGGTCTGATGCCAAGCTCGCAAGTGATTCCTGCAGGGTTGAATCAATCCCCTTTGCTCATTTGAGTCAGCGTGGTGCTCTGTTTCTCGCTGACAAAGTAATGATTCGAATTTCAGTGCAAACCGTTGCATCCACACGTACATGTACAGCATGGACAAACATGCTCCCGATAAAGTCAGTCATCTTTTGATTGCCTCCTGCAGCGCCGCAGTGGTCTGTGTGAGGTAGTCGTCCACACCCAGCCGCCGGCCCTGTGCGGTGGCCTCGGCACGCAGCTCGAATTTCTTCTTGTTGCGCGCGAAGTGGATGTGCTTGTCGCGCGTGATGACCGAGAAGCCCCTGAAGCCGTACAGCTTGAACAGCAGGCTGAAGGCTGACTGGTCGTCGTTGTGATTCTTGAATCCTGGGTAGTCCGGTTGGCCTGCACGTGCACACGAGCGACACACACACACACACACAAGGTGTCTGTTTCATTGACGGTCTGTTCTCTTTGTCAGATACATACCCATGACGCTTGGTTCTTCCGTCATGACTCTCCTGTCCTGGCATGCCTTGAGCCATGAGTGGGCGAGGGAGACCGCCAGAGGTGTCTTGCGCATCAGGATGATGCCCGTGGCGTACTGCTGGCTGAGGGCGATGGCGATGTGGTCGGCGTCAAGCGCCAGGAAGGCGTCGCGCTTCGTCCAATCGCCCTCCTGCACCACACGTGTACACATGAATACATAATGAGAGACAGTGAGAAGGGCATCCCATCTGCGTGTGTGTGTGTGCCAGTGCCTCACGAGCATGAAGTCCTGAAAGGCGACGACATCGCTCCCGTTCAGGTAGGTGTCGACCAGACTTTGTATTGGTCCCACGAAGTACCCGCCCGCATCGCTGTACACCAACACGCCACGATACCACGGCAAATCGGGAGACTGCACACGCAACGCCCACACAGAGAGAAAGGGAGACAGCGAGAGAGAGAGAGACAGCGAGAGAGAGAGGGCGGTCTTGTGTGTTGGATACAGGTGATGTGTATGTAGCTGTGGCAGACTCACCAGCAGCGCCTTGAGGACGACATAAGGCTTCCACACATAGTACCCCCGCTTGGCGCTGGGCGACTTGTACCGAATCAAGTCACCCTCTCTCGGGAACTCCAGCAGCAGCCGATTCTTCTCTGGGAAGTCCACGTCAAGAAAGGTCCCGTTGAGCATCCACGCGTCCGTGCAGCCCCACTCCAAGGCCGTCCTGTGGTTCTGCTCCTGCTCCATCTCACAGCACCCATCGGCATAGCTGACCGACAGCACAGTGAGATTCCCGTAGGGCAGCGACACGTATGTGGCATTCATGGGGTCATCTGCAGTCGGCAGGAGGTCGGTGGCATTCTCTCTGCCGTGCCGAAATGCCTCCTCCCTCTCCAGCAACTTTCGCGTCTCGCCAAGGAGGGCCTGCTTTCTCTTGTCGGCTGCCGTGGAGAACAGAGGCTGTTTGGGCGTGCGGTTGCGGAAGAACGTGTCTAAGATGAAGAGAAGGACTTTGTGCGTCTCCAACACGGTGGCGCGAAAGCAGCCGTCGCCCACCGTGTCGTTGAGGGCCGTGCCGGTGTCGTTTCTCGCCAGCTGCTCGTGGTGCTGCTGTGCGGTGGTGGTGGATGATGCTGCGGCGAGGTTCCTAAGCAGGTGGACGGCTGTCTTGCACCGCACGGAAGGGCTGAACAGATCCATGATGGAGTGCTCGATAGCAGGCCTGCCAAGTCAAGGAGGGAAAACACAGCATCCATCGAGTCATGTGCCTGTGTGCAGTGCACCATGTGTGTGTGTGTGTGTGTGTGTGTGTGTGCTGTACCAGTCCTCTTCTCGCTGGAAGGTCGCAAAGGCATAGACGTTGTCGAGGTCGCCGAACCATCCTTGCCTGCTGGCGAAGCTCTCTTGTGGGTCGAGCATGCCCACACGTATCCTCTGCCGCAGATCCAAGGCGAGCTGACGAGGGACCCCAGAAAAGGCCACAGTCTGCAAGACAGGCGAGAGAAGCATACACATTGATATGCACTCATAGGTTGTGTCGTCCTACCTGCGGTCTGATGAGGGCATTGAGCATCTTGTTGGGGGCCGCGAATGGGAAGCCCATGATGAGGGAGAGGAGCACGCCGAGGAACACGTCAGAGGCGCCCGTGTTGCCCACATAAATGATCTCATCGCGTGCGTCATCTACCGAACACACATAGCCACATACAGACACATCCGAACGGCTGATGTCTCTTTACCCCTTCCCCTCCCCAGCCACCAGTGAAGAGCTCTTCAAGCACCAACAAGTCATTCTCTCCCGCCGCTCCGTCCTTCGCCCGCTGCACTATCAGCCGTGTCGGGTCGCGCACCCACATGACGTCCATATCAAACCACACCATCCGCAGGCCAAATTGAGCTCCCACTAACAGCACTGAGTACTTGACCAGCGCCGCAGCCGTGTCGGGAAATGCCCCCCACAAGTTGCCCTTCCTCACTTCCTCCTCTCTTGCGCAAACCTCGCCATTCCCATCGCCATACGGCAGCAGGACACATGTGCCCAGCTCCTCAATGGTCGTTCTGCCCCTCTCTGTCGCGATGAAAACGCCCGCCAGCCGTGGGGGGGCGAGGGCGGCCTTCCTGCCCTCGATGCAGGCATGGTAGGCGGCTTGAGAGCGTGTGATGACGACAGTGTTGAGTAGGCCGAGGATGTGTATCTGTCGGCCCCACCAGAGTGGAAAGAAGGGGATGACGGCATCGCTGGCCGCCAGTGTGATGTACACGAGGCGGCCGTCGGCTGCTCCTGCTGCGTGTGCTGGGACGGGGAGGGCGAGCAGGGCTGCGGCGCTGAGGGCATCCGTGAGATTCCTCAACGCTGCAATGAAGGGCAAAGAGAAAGAAGAAAGGGCATGGTTTTGTGTGTGATGTCGGTGTCTCCCTTCTTACGAGCGCTTCTGTGTGCGAGCCAGGGGAGCAGCTGCTGCCTCATCTGCAGAGGGTGCAGCCCACGGAGAGTAGAGAGGATATCAGCAGGGACGGGGAACCTGAACACGCCAACAAACACAGCAGGGACACTCCCTCCCTTGTCGTGCAGAACGACATCGATTTGACCTGTGGAAGGGCATGAGGTCCTGCAACGGTATCGGCCGACAGTTCCGGTGCGACCGCTGCTCCCCAATGATCAACAGCAGCTCAAATATCGGCCAACCTGACGCAGAGAGATAAAGAAACGGAATGACGACTTTTCTCAGATGCATCCGTATCCCTTCACCGCTGCTGAAGACGGCCGTGGCGTGAATGTCCGTAAGGTGTTGTCTGACGATGGCCATCTTGACCTGCAGCAGCCGGTGCATGTCACGCAGGGCCGCCGTACCCAGCGCCTGCAGCAGCAGGGCGGTGGCCGACCCTAATGGACAAGCGAGAGTCAACCTCCCGATGGTCGTCGCCACTGTCGTGTTGCCATGGGCCGTCGAGTTTGTCGATGGCGTGCTGTTGCCGGTCAGCAGCGCCATGGAATCGGCGACAGATAGGTTCCATGGTGCGCGTGACGTGGTGAGGAATAGGATGGTGCCGCTCTGGCTGACGGCGGCGTGGTCCTCTGCATACGTGGCCAGTGAGCCGCTCGCGATTACCTTCTTGGCCAGGCTTTGCGCGTCAGCCTGGAACTGCCGCCAGTCGACCGATGGGTGCGGGTGGTGGAAGCAATCGTTGACAGAGGTCTTGGCCCACCCCTTGTCAAGTGCAATGAGCAGCCTGACATACCAACACACCGCACCAGATGGACGGAATGCAGACAGCAGCCACAGGCATCCATGTCACATCTGTGTGTACCTGAGGATTGGCCATGTGGTCCCCGTTATCTCGTCGATCGACAGCTGCTTGATGGTCTGGTGGATGGTGTGGGCTGATGAGTGCATGTACCGCTGGAACGCCTCCACACCGTCGCCCATGATGCCGTCAGGAGGGTGCACACTCTGGAACAGCCACGAGGCAAACGCACCAAGTGGGCAGTGCCGTGTCTGCAGGGCCCCTTGGCTGCGGTGAGGCGCCCTGGTTGCATTGAGGTCCAGCACAAGGAACAGCTGCCCGATCTCTGTGGCTCCTCGAACCTCGGCGAAAAGACCCTTGCGCTGCTCGGGGCTTGTGTTGGTGTCTGCGTCATTGAAGGGCGGGTACAGCTGCAGCAGCTGCTGGCGCAATGTGTTCCAGTGGAGCTTCGGATGGGGCGATGGTACGCCGCGGCAGTCCCAGTCTGGCTGAAAGGTGAGATCTCCGTTGAAGAAGAGGGCGAGATCCCGTTCAAAAAAAGGCGGAGATGGGAAAGGACCGTCGCCGGCAGATGAGCATTGAGCCCACAGCGCACCCAGGAGCACCAGCAGGACAGAACGCCTCATGTCGCGTTTACTTACGAGACTGTGGGCCTTTGGGGGCTCTGCCGTCTCAGTCTCCCCAATGCTCTCCAGAACGGCTCTTGTGGTGCTTCTCCTGCCCTGCATTGATGCGAGTGAGGTTCTTGCAGGCGAAAGGAGGACATGCCTGGCCATCTCCGAGCAGATGCGCAGCTACAAGTTCTCCGACCTGCTGACCGATGGCAACACTTATCGATGGAAGCAGGGCACGGGGCCGCCAGAGGAGACCTTCACTGCCGAGGAGATGCAGAAGATAGTCGTCTGCAAGGCCATCTTCGCCCGATGCCGTGAGCCTGCAGCTCCATGCACACATTCATCGAGAGGCTTGCTCCATCTTTCTTTGTGTCTGCCTGCAGATAGCACTGGCCACGTTCGTGCGGTGGGCGAGCAGCAGGGCTGGCCCTCTGACCCAACACAAAAGGTGCCCTTCCAGCCGAACAAGCTCACCCACGCCCTGCTCAACGCCGACCGCTTCATCGACCTCCACGAGCTGACCCCACACTCATTCATCTCCCAAATCAACCAATGGGACAGCCAGGGCTCCCTGCAGAAAAACGAAGTGGTCGACTGCAACACGGGCAGACGCGTGTTCCACCCCTCTGACACCTCACAGTATCCGATTGACTTCAAGACAGCGGGCGGTCAGTGTGTGACGGCGTGGGGCCAGTTCGACGCTGTGTGTCTGTTCCCTTTGTTCCATCACTATCGACTGTACCCCTGGCGCAAGAGCCAGGGAGAGCGCGACAGGCAGATGAACTGCGAGGCGACCTTCATGAGAGACCGGGGGCTGGTGGGGGGCCTGTATGTGTCGTTCAGGAGAGGCCTCGCAATGCAGGAACAGAGTACGGCGGGAAAGCCTATGAAGCGCAGCACACAGCCATGTACGTGTGGATGTGTGTGTAGGCGCGTTACCGAGCTGGGCGGATCAGCAGTTCTTTGCCATGGCTCAGGTCAACCCTGACGGCACATCGGCTGCAGCACCACCAGCAGCAGCAGAGGGAGCGAAGGAGGACGGCCCGTTCGTCAGGCAGTGGAAAAGACGCGCGCAGAAATTCGCGCTCTGCTGGCTGCTCCTCAACCTCTGTGGTCAGAAACACCAACACAACCACCTGTGTGTATGTCTCCCTCCCGTCACATGTGCCTCCTCCTTGTTTGTGTTGCATGCATCAGAGGACATGCAGTCATACATGCCCATGATGGAGCAGCTCTTCACCGACGTATTCCACCGCATCAGCCGCACAACCGGCCTCGCTAACAATGTCGAAGACTGGCCGTCCCACACAGACGAGCTCACCCAGGGCATCAGCAGCGCCACCATGACCAAGTGCTTCCACGATGCCGTGACGCGGCACAGCGACACGACCGGCCTGTGGGAAGAGTTCCGCTCTCGCAAGCCACAAGGAGGGGGGCATGAGCCTGGGTTCTACTGGTGGGCGAAGGACAAGGGGGAGGGGGAGGGGGTGATGCCACCAGAGACGTATCAGTTTGAGCCCGCCAGCACACCTGAGTGGACATGACCGAAGGCAGAAGAACAGGCTGTGTGAGGGGTTCTTGTGTGACACAGGAAGGTTGAGCATGTGAAACGTGTGTTGTGTGTGACAGTGGGTGCAACCGAGTATCGACTCGTCAATGGCTGCTACCATGTTCTTGATTTAAACCCGGTCACTCGCTCACACACGCACACACAAACCACACAGCCAGCCCATCAGGGTCTCTCGGTACCAGCCATCCATCCATCCATCCATCCAGACCAGCTAGGCACCATCCATCCATGCATCCACTGCACAACCGACCCTCTCACACAAAGTGTGCCAGCTGATGGATGTCATGGGCACTCAGCGAGTGCATGACCGACCGCATGGCGTCTGACTGTCTGTCTGTCTATATGGCTGCACAGCAGGGAGGGAGGGGAGGGGGGGAGGCGAGTCCGTCTAAACCCAGCAATTGCATTCCATACGTACGGTTGGTTATGTACAGGCAAGCACCGGACATGCAATTAGCACGAGAAACAAGGGAAGGCAAAAGAGAGAGAAGGCTCGCTGTGTCCGCAACACACATGAGCATGGCGTGTGTCTGTGGGTGGATGGGTGGGTGGGCAGCTCTGGACACGTGTTGCGTTTGCCTCTCTCTCAGCACATGGTACTCAGGCAGGGAGGCAGGCAGGCTAGGCGAGTAAGAAGGTCAAGGACATCTTCTATCCCAAAATAAAGGCACCCCCCCTCCCACACACACACGTCACCCAGCCAACCAGACAGACAGACAGACAGGCAGCCAGCCACAAACGAAAAACAAGGCGGCCAGGCACTCAACGAACAGCAGAGATGAGCTAGCGATAGACATCCACACGCATCCAGATCCCTCCCTCAACACACGCACACTAAGAGGTGCATGTGTGTGTGTGTGTGTAGATGCTACGTTTGCGCCGCTAGGGGTGAGTTAGTTAATTAGTACTCCTGGCTGGCCGCAGCCTCCTTGGCCTTCTTGCCCCTGAACACACACAACACACACACAACACAGAGAACAGACAGAGACGTGTTCCATCCATCCATCCGTCCATGCGTGTGTTGGTCCTGCACTTCTCACTCACTTCTTGGGAAGGAGAACGTTGTGTATGTTGGGCAGGACGCCGCCCATGGAGATGGTCACGTTCTGCATGTACTTGTTCAACTCCTCGTCGTTGCGGATGGCCAGCTGCAGGTGGCGCGGAACTATGCGACTCTGAACACAACACAACACCCCCCCACACACACCGTCACCCATCCTTTGTCACCCCACAGGTCGTCTTGACCCATTCACCCACCCACCACCGTGCGCACGTACCTTCTTGTGGTCACGGGCAGCATTTCCGGCCAACTCCAACACCTCAGCGCACAGGTACTCGAGGACGGCCGCCAGATAGACGGGCGCCCCGCTGCCGACGCGCTTGGCGTAGCGGCCCTGCTTCAGGTACCGGGCGATACGCCCAACCGGGAACTGCAGACCAGCTTTGGCGGAGCGGCTCACCTGCCGGCACAAACCACACACAGAAGACAACAGAAGAGATTGGGCGGTTTTCTCATCGCCACCGACACGCACGTGTGGTGTGTGGTGTCGCCTTACGTTCTTGCCGCCCGCCTTCTTGCCACGGCCTCCCTTGCCTTTGCCGGACATCGCTGGAAGGACAAACGCGGTCTCAACACGGGCTCAAGGGCGGCAGATCACTTCGAACAAAGGCTGAATGCACGCCAAAGCTACAAAAACCTTCTTTTTCCAGTGGGTTGGTTGGTTACGAGAGGGTAGCTCTTCGGGTGCGGAAAAACACAACGGGATAGGCGAAGACCCCATTTTCACGGTGGATGATGTTTCCTGGTTATCCTACGGGCGGGCAGTTCGTCTCTGTGCCTCAGGCTGCTCAGCCCAACCACCCGCAAGGCCCTCCGCAGGGTGGGCAGCAGGGACAACTGATGGCCATCCCTGCAGGAAACCCCGGATTTATGCTGACCAACCTGCCCCCGCAGATCCCCCAGGACACCACACAGATCCTGGGGCTGACCGTCCATTTCTACCCCTCCACGAGTGCCGGCCACCAAGCGAACCGTAGAGGCCATTGTTCGGCGCACACTGACGCCGGAGATGCTGCGCCAGCTAGTCAGTGAAGGAGCCGACTGCAACACGCTCGTCATGGTAAGGCACGCACCGGCAGCGGACACGCAGACGGATGGTTCTCTGTGCGTATGTGTTTGTGTGGGTGTCAGGTCACTTGCGCCCCAGGCCAGTCATTCCCCTACCGCGTCACTTTGCTGTCGCTCGCCATCGACGATGCCCTGCCGGAGATGCCGTCCGTGTGGAACGACCGCGGCGTGTCCGAGGTCATGCTCCCGTTGTGGCCGTCACGAGAGGCCCAGGCGGCCATACTCGAAGCACTCATCGCCGACGGCCGTGCCGACCCCAACCGCATCGACGAGGCCGTCCCGCTCACCCCTATTGTGCAGATGGGCAGCACCAACGGCACCACGGTGAGGGAGGGAGGGGGGAAGGGGGGTTGGGAGGGTGTCAAAGGGTGTGCAGATACCGTATGTGTGTGTTTGTCTGTGTGTGTGTTGGTCGTCCCAGCATCGCTGTCCAATTGTTATGGCGCTGGTTTCCGCCAATTTGGCGGCGGTTGATGTGTTGCTGCAGCGTCGCGTTGGAGTGCGGGGCCTAGCCATCATCAACCTGGGGCTCATCGAGCTCGGCAAGCACCGAAAGGGGGCGAACACATCCGAGGCGAAGGTCCAGTTCCTTGCCAACCTGCTCGAGGCTTTCACTCGGCTGCTGGACTACGACCCCATTCTGGCCACTGAGGCGGAGACCACGACCGCCTTTCTCGTGGACATGCTCAAGTTCTTCGGGCCACGCTTCGTCGATGGGTGAGAGAGAGCGCGGGCTGGGCGATTCGGTGATTTGATTCGTCTTTGATGTTCCCTGTGGTGGGTGTGGTGTGTGTCCAGGTTTCTGGATCAGATGGTGCAGCACGGCTGTGTGCTGGACGTGGGCTTCATCCAGCGCGCAGCCATGCAGGCTTGCTTGAACGTCCTCAGCTACTGCTGCCGCAAGCTGCCCCTCAGCGAGATCCACAACCGTGCCGGCACACCCATACCGGTGCGCAATAACCAAACCACACCACCACGACGCCACACGAGACACTCATTTCTTCCATTAATCAGGTGACGCCTCTAGAGGTGGCGGTGCAGAGGATTGACATGGAGCTCACCAGCGGCCGCTTTCTCCCGCCCTTCCCCTGCCGAGCCGACCCACGTCTCATGATGACTCCGCCGCACGGTGTGCACGCCTACATGCACGTTGCGCGAGAGCTGCTGCGGGCCGGGGCCGCGATTGAGGAACTGCCGACCAATAGCATCGGCCAGTGGCGGCAGAAAGCGCTCGCCAAGGGCCAGCTAATGATCCTCCTCAACAGTGAGATCCCCAAGCAGACCATGGACGCCGTCAACGCGGCCCTCCGCCCTCACCGTGAGCTTGCGGCCCTACTCACTCATCTGCTTCCACTCGCACCCCATCACGACGGCGGACATCCCCAAGCGTCCCCATCAGCCATCTCATTGGGCCCACAGGAGGCTCCCGCGATCGCCTGGAAGATCGCTGCCTTCAACAACGACACAGGAAGCATCCAGCAGGCCCTCGACGGCATCAACCTCCGCGCCGACACCACCTTCGGCGGGCGCGTCCACGGGGCCATGGCGCACTTCGTCAAGCAGGCGACCACCGTGGCCACGAGCAACAGGGAGGTGGTGGGCGGGGTGAGACATGACGAGAGCGGCCAGGCCGTGCGTGTGCCCCCGCTGCAGTGCTTTGCTGTCGGCGATGGGGTCGGGGGGTCGCACCGGCTGATCGGTCTGCGTGAGGTGGTGCACAAGGCGCGGCTGGACGAGGCGGGCCAGTGCGGTTTGGGGGGCCAGGTGGTCAAGGGCTTCAAGGAGCAGCTCGGAAATGGCGACTGTGAGTTTGAGTGGTCGCAGCTGGGGTATTTCGACAAGAAGGGGCGGTTCGTGCTGGGCATCAATTAGACGGCTGAGCGAATAGCTCAAGCCTTTTCCTGTGTGGTGTGGTGGTGGTGGAGGGAGAGGGTTTAGGTGGGTGGGTGTCTTGGGTGCATAGTCTGCATGGCTGCATATAGGTCTTATCCACACACACGTTTTTGCCCTTCATAGAAAGACAGCAGAAGGTGTGACGGACGGACAGGTGCTGTGTCCACGTCAGTCAGGTCTTTATTTATATGAGCAGGTCAGGCCCATTTGTGTGACGGGATGGTGCGAATGATTGATGCATGTGGTGTTCCTCTCTCTCTGTTGTGTGTTGACGGCAAATGACTGACAATGACTGCAAATTCGTGTATGGTTAGCTATCATACATACGTTCACTCTTTGTGTGCAATCATCCGTCCCGTCCGTCAGCGGCGGCAGGCTGGCCATGCATGGCATGCATCAAATCTCAGTCATCGTCTGTCTGTACACACTGACTGCACGCCATGCACCACACCCGCAGAAAATGGACCACCATGGAGCCATCCATCCATCCGTCCATCCATCTCTCACCAGCACCCAGCCAGCGATGTACACTGCCATGCTACCCATCTCTCCACCTGTCTGTCTACCTACCGCCCCCTTCCCTTCTTGTGTCCCCTCCCGCCACCCCCCATGATGGCGTGCCACGGGGCGACTACGCGGCCCCTCCTACTCATCGCGTTGATCTTGATCTCATCATCACCTGTCAGGTCCACCACCTTAGACAGATCTATCCCCCCCGTCCTTGGTCGCTTCTCTGGGGGCTGCTGTGGGTGCTGTGGGTGTCTATGGCTGTCGCCGAGCAACGCACCGAAATCCTGGGCAAAGCCTGAGGAAGACGCGCCTCCGGCCGCGGCGGGAGCTGCTGCCGCTGCAGCTGCAGCTGCTGGTTGTGAAGCTCCAGGCAGACCAGTGGAGTCATCCTCTAGGACCATCTCGTTGTGTGAGCGCTTCTTTGGTTGGGGGTGGGGTGGGGGTGGGGGGGCTGGTGGTGGTCCGACGGGGGGAGGGGGCATCTCCTTGTCTGCCTCTGGCTCTGGCTGTCCCTCTTGTTTCTGGCGCCCCATGCGCTTCCGCAGCTGTGCCATCAGCTCCTGGGGCGTCATGCGGGCCTGCTGCTGCAGCTCGGGGGGCAGGTCGGACGATGCCGCCGCTGCGGCTGCCGCTCCTGCCGTGGGTGAGGAGGAGGCCTGCTTGTGCCGCCTCTCCCAGTCCATCACCTCCTTGACTAAGTCTGCCTTAGTCTGCAGGCATCCACACAGCACAGCCACACAGATATATAGAGAGTGTATAAGCGGCGAGTGGCCTGCTGATCTCCACCCCACCGACCTTCTTGACCTGCCCGCCGCACTTGATGGCGTCAACCGTGGCGTCCCAACGCAGACAAAACTCCTGCACACACAAATCCATCCAACCATCACATCGGTGGGATGGCCGTGTGTGTATGTCTGTCTAAGGGAGACCACCCCACCCAAAACAAAAAAAGTGGACTCACCTCGTGTCTGGCTACGTGGATGTCCCTGACGTCCGCCGCCTTGCCCTTCTCCACAGGCAGACCCTCTTGCTATGCACACACACACGCACACACAACAAAGGTGAGCGGATGTGTGCATGTGGTGCGCCTGTTTGTCGTCTGCCTGTGTGTCTGTTAACCCGCAGCATATCAACGATGGCGGTATTGTTCTTGCCCCCATAGGTCACCCCGGTCTTATGCGAAGTCTGCACACATCAAACAAACACAACACACAAACATCATGGAATATGTGTGTGGGGGTCGGAGAGCGACACTGGTGGTGCCCGCCCGTGCTTGCGTACTATCTCCCCCCCTCTGTCGCCGGAGCTCGCTGCTGCTGATGTCGGCTGCCCCAGGCCCAGCATCCCGGTAATGGTTCCCGAGCGCTTCCTCGGCACAACGTTATTGCGGTACTTGGGCGTCTGCACGCACACACACACAGGGAGAGATGGGAAACGAAGACATCGAACAGCGTCGCACCAACACACGCACCTTCTGCTGGTCCATCTCTGCCCTCGAGGACGCCTTGAGTTTGCTGCGGACGAGCTTGCGGAACTTGCCGTCCGCCGCATTCCTTATCAGCTCTATCAGAGAGTGCTGCGAGGGGGAGGGGCGCAGATCACTCTGCACACAGACACACAGAGGCTCAGACAGGGAATGACCGATACTATGAGGGTGTGGTGTGTGTTGGCGATTTGGCGGTGTGTGCGCACCCACCGTTTTGGCAGGCTGTTGGCAGAATGGGCACTTGGCGCTGCCGTTGACGATGGTGCGTCGAATGCACAGACTGCAGAAGACGTGGCCGCACTGAGAGGGATGACCGAGAAATGAATGGATGCAGGGCAGGGCATGCCACACAGAGAGATCCAAGAAGTGAATGGTGTAGATGAGTCTGTGTGCGTGTGTGTACTGTGTATCCTCGCCACCTTGAGCGACACGGGCGCCTCCATGTACTGCTGGCATATCTGACCTGAAGACCAAGGCAGCAAACACAACACATACACACAAAGCGGCGTCACGGACAGGGCGTCTTTGCCTGACATCTGATCTCATCTCACACGGGAAGTGTGCTTACATCTCAGCTGCTGCTCGAGCTGCTTCCACAGGGCTATGGGCGTAGACATCAGGACGACGACAAGAAGTCACGATCCAGCGGCAGCTGCGGCACATACAGGCGACTCTTCGACACTCCCATCAGCTGCTGCACATCAACTCAACACACGCACGCTTTCTCACGACGACGGAGAAACGATGCGAGCTGTTGAGTTTTCGTGACTGAATCCACTGGGACTGAACTCATCGCATCTGTCGGCTGGAGGCGTCTGCCGGATGGACTAGAGCTTCGTTTGCTGGTGACCGGTGTTGGTTAATTCTCATGGTGCGCATGCAGCGTCTGAGTGCTGTCGAAGTGTGGATGCATGGTCTGTGGATGGAGTGGCACGCCCAAAATCGCACACACGTACACTCAGACGCACAGGCAGACAAGACAGATCAAGGGGCATTGAGATGAGAGAGCCATCGGGGCATGGAAATGTGTACGTATCTATCGGACGTGGGAGGGATGACGGGCACGATCCAGCATGACAGACAGACGCGGGGAAGGGAAGAGATACACTTGCCGTCTCTGCTGAAACAGGCGCACACAACGGTCAGGCCGACAGGCGATACGCAGCAACCGACAAACAGCCAGACAGACGAACAGATAGGCAGACAGGTGTGGCATGGGATGACATGGCATGAAGCGACGAGAGACAGAGTGGTGTAGCCATGGTAGGCGTGAGGAAGAGCACTCAGGCGTATGGTAGACAAGCAGGCAGGCAGGCAGTTAGCTATGTACACGGACACGGTGGTAATGATGGAGTGAATGAGTGAGTGAGTGATGAAATGGATGGATACGATACACACACGAAGAAAAATACAGACCTCCGATGGTGCAAGAGGCTCGTACACAACACGTACACACACACACAGATCCAGACAGACAGACAGGCAGGCAGACAGACAGACGGGTCGCGTGTGTAGTGAAGTGCGCGTCTGTGTCAAGTTCCATTGAGGACCATTCCACACCGAACTCGAGGCCACCGATGCCATGTCCCGTTCACGATCGCTTCGATGACCGAAGCCTAAAGAGAGGTGGGCATTGCAGTGATGCCCATCTCCGTTTCACCCACGGCCAGCGAAGCGGTCGTGAAAGATAGACACACGGCACCACACCATTGCACCACCGCACCACACAAGACGCGTCAACCAGATGAACCGAGAAATCTGGCAGGCGTCTTTCTCCTCTTCTCTCTTTAGCGGTCGGCACGGGTCAGAATGCCCTTCCGCTGACCTCATGCACGTGAAGATATCACTGGCAGGTGCGACAGCGGCATCTTGTCGAGCAAGAGAGCAGCGAAAGGACATTGCTGACACGAGGACAACCGACATCGGCAAATCGTCACATCACGTCATCTTCTCCTAGTCTCTCGTCATCCCTCAAACTCTCCCTTCCTTCTCTCCGCTCGGATTTGTGGTGAGACGACCACACGACAACCAAGGCGACACGCACTACTGTACCATCCATCGATCGTCCGATCTGAAAAAGCTGGGCAAGGCAAGACGAGGCGAGACGAGACGAGGACGCGACGAGACGACGCGAGACGAGCGACACAGGACAGGCAGACAGGCAGACACACACGGACGGACGGACACTTCCACGCAGACAAATACTAGCACAACAACAGCAACACTGACTCACTGACGGGCGGGCGGCTGGCGGGTGAAATGCATTTCATGGCAAGTCGACTTACGGTGGCTGTCCCCTCGAGCTCTGGGCAGCCGACCACGCACCGTACATCTCACACACTCGACACCAAGCAGTCACGACATGGTACGGGGATGCATCCGCTAGATAGTAGTGGGTATCAGACAGACAGAAAGACAGATATGCCGCAGCACAGCACAGCTTAGCTTACAGATTTCAGACAGCAGGCATTCAGGCAGGCAGGCAGCTTACAAAAGCCCAACCACCAGCACCAAAGCAGCACCACACCACACCACACCACCCCGCACCACCCCGGCCAAAAACAGCTGCTCCGCTCCCTCCCTCTTACACACACATCCCAGACACACAACAAACACACGGATAGTATGTGTGGCTGGCTGTCCGCGTATCAGCCACATACATCTACACGCTCACACGCATCCATCGATCCGTCCGTCGATCCATCCATCCGTCCATCAAAAGAGCCAAACTGAAACCCATGCATGCGATGCCTCCCTCCATCGCATCCATCGATCCGTTGACCCGCCCATCCCAGGCATGACAAGCCATGGTACACATAACAGAACATATGTACTCACCTAAGTACATATCGGTAAAAAAGAGGCTCGCATCAGTCGAATCGATCCGCCCCGGGGGGTGGGATGCAAGCCGGGCCGGGTAGGGAGGGAGGGGAGGCATAGCAAGCGACCTGAGTTAGTTAGTTAGAGCTACCTAGTTCCCCTGTACACAACACACAACACACAATACACAAAACCACACCACACCACACCCCCGGACAAAAGCGGCCAGCAACATCCTCCCTCCCTCCCTCCCTCCGCCATTAACGGCTTAAAATACAGAGCACCCTCACGCGCGCACTGTAAGCATAATAAATATCAATATGAATGGAATGACTGCACAAACAGACTGACAGACAGACAGACAGACACACGGCCTCCCTCCCTCCGTCCGTCACTCCCTGCCTGTCTGTCTGCCTGACATGACATCAATTCTTGTGGATCCATCCATCCATCCATCGGCCAGCCAGCCCAGCCAGATGGATAGCAAGGGAGAGAGAGAGAAAAAACAAACCTATAAAATTACGAAGGAGAGGACGCACTGCACTCACCAGCGTAGGGTACACCACACCGACACACACCGAGGCAGATGGGATGGATGGATGTGATGTGATGTGATGTGCTCTCCTTCATGCAGTCTTGTATCTTCTCGTCTCTCTGTCGCCAGCCGGGTGGCTGGCTGGCTAACAAAAAACACCCACACACTCACAAGACAACCCACCCCTCCGAACCCCACATAGTCAAAATTTGCCCCCTTTCCCCTCCCCTCCGCTCCGCCCCGCCCCCAAATCGGTCCATCATCTGCACTGATACTGATGCTTGCTCGGTCCACCCCGGCTGCAGGCCTACCTGTACATTGCGGAACACCGGCAAAATCTCACGCAGACGAACAAAAGGAGGCGCCTTTAGATTATCACACCACGACACAGCACAACACGACATAACACGCACCACGCGCAAGGACGGAGGGAGGGAGGGAGGGAGGGACGAAGGACAAAAGAATCAATCAAGACTGTGACAAAACAATCGGATCGGCGGTACTAGAGGGAGGGAGGGAGGGAGGGACGCCATGCGACGGGCCACAAAAGGGAGGCATTCACCGATGGATGTCATGTGGATCACGTGGCGATCCCCTCCCTCATTGTGCCTGGACGGCGTGCTCTACGAGGATGCCAAGCTCCTTTCGGAAGGCCTGCACACACACACGAGCCAAAGGTGGATCAACCAGCTCGTGTGGGGTGGTGGTCGTTGCAAGCTGTCGTACCAAGGCATGGTTGTAGAACTGGTCGTCAACCATCGTGTCCAACCACAAAAAGTATGCGCGCGTCACGACCCTATACAAACACCATCACCATGCCATGCCTCCACACGCCGGACAGCGCATCGATGCAGCTCACCTGTTTTTGAAGTCGGAGATCCGCTCTGGCGTGAGCTGGATGGGGTCGTTGTCGTAGTCCAACAGGTGGTCGCCGAAGGCCAGCGGGTCGAAACTCCTTAACGAGTCAACCAGCAGCCACACCTCACGCGAGAACGCCTACACACCAAACAACATGGAAGCAAGCTTCGGGTGGATGTGAGTGACTGAGTGCTGGGAGGTCGGCATCAGTCGGTGCGGTCGGTGCATACACAAGCTGACTGACCTCGCAGTAGTTGTGCAGGGCGTCCTGACACCGCGTGTCGAGCCACCGAAAGTACGCACGCTCCAGCACCCTGAGCAAGGAAGACACCGACCGCAATGCAATGGACAGACACCTCCCTCACCCTTCTCTCCCCTCCGTCTGGTCGCCCACCCACCTTTGTTCGAAGACTTCAATGGTGGGTATGTATAGAGGCAGGTAGAGCAGTGTGGTGTGCTGCGGGGGCTCGGGTGTCGTCTCAGGGTCGTCGCGCCCGTCCCCCGCCCTCTCAGCCACCACCAGAGACGGCGGGATCGACACTGGCACGGGCGAGGGCGGCTCCTGCCGCAAGGCCTGCACAGGGAGAGTGAGTGATGCAGAAGGGAATGTGTAGGGCGGAAGGGGGGGGTGTCTGTCTGTTCGGTCGGCGGGTTGATTTACCTCATAGTAGTTTGCGAGGGCGTCTTGGCTGCCCGTGCGGATGTAGGTCATGTAGGCACGCTCAAGCACCCTGTGGACACACACATGCAGTGCAGTGCAGCCATGGACAGAGAGAGAGGGAATGGATGGAAGGAAGACAGACTGCAGCCAGCCGTCTTGTCTTCGTGTGGCGTCCCCACACACCTCTCTGTGAAGCGTTTGTGTGGTCGGACACGGACCCCCCGACGCGCTCGCTCCACATGCAGAGCCTGAACGAACACATACATAGATACCCAAGCGGATATATGGCCTCATTGTCGTCTCGTTTTGGCATCTAATATGTGGCCCGCACTCCCTCACTCACGTCCATGTAGTTGGCGACGGCGTCCTCAATGCCCGTCCGGCAGTAGATGAAGTACGCCTCCTCTATCACCCTACACACACCACAGTACAGCACGCCACACACGGCCACGATCGATCATCCGGTCCAGCCACCTCTATGCTCTTCTCCTCTCTCGTTCACACACACACACACACGCGTACCTCAATCGTGATGCCGGGCTGAGCGGCTCATCTGCCATGATGCCGATGGGCGGCGGGAGAGAACCTGGTGGCTCACCATCACTATCACCATCACCACCACCGTCACCTTCACCCCCAGCCACCCAGCAGTGCTTGGCGGTCTCCTCGCTTGTGGAGCTCGCACGGTCGCTGCTCAGAGAGGTGACCGTGGCCTCGTACTCTGACTCCTCCGTACCCGTCAGCAGCCGGTGTCGTCTCCCCCTCAGGATGTCGTGCTCCCCCTCCCGCCCCCTCTCCCAGATGGCCAGCCTGCCGATGGTCAGGGGGTCTCTCGCGTTGCTGGAAGCCGCTGGCTGGCCGTCCAAGGGAGTGGCTGGGTGTGTCGGGGGCTCTGCTGTCTGTGATGGTGGCTCTTCTGCAGGGGGTGAGGCGGGGGCGGGGCGCTGTGGTGGTGGGTGGGCGTTGGCTGCTGCAGCTGAGGATGACGGCCCGTCATCCTCGTATGGGATGCCTTCCTTGTCGTAGAGCGAGCGCAGTGTGTCCATGTCGATGTCGAAGTCGGGGTCGCCCGACTCGAGAAGACTCAGGACGGCGTCGAGGTTGAGGTCGGGGCTGTTCTCGAAGTGGGCGGCTCCTGTGGGTAGGAAGGTGGGCCTGCTGAAGCTGGCGTCGGTGTGGCTCCGCACGGGGGTGTTCTCATAGGAAGGGGCTGCCATGGATGCGATGCGATGCGAGGTGGCATACACAGACAGACAGACAAGAAGACAGGGAGGGCTGTTTAGATGAGATGAACAGCGGTCATCTCCCCTCCCTCCCTCCCTCCCCGGCTTACCCATGTCGGCGTGTCTTTTCCGCTCCCTCATCCTGGAGCCAAACTCGGGCGACGCGTCCGGCAACGCCACCGTGTTGACACCCACAGGCGATGGCACCACCGATGAGGAGGACAACAATCCCCCGGCACCTTCACCACCAATCGGGTACGGCCGCTCAACCCCACCAACACCCCGACCGCCATTTCTCGGTGGTAGGGGCAGCGGCACTGGCGAAGGCGATGGCATCGGCAGCGACTCGGTGGACCGCTCCACATCCTTGCCGCAGAGGGTCGACCGTCTCACGGACGAGGCCTCAGAGGGCGCCCTCGTGTCGGCGTCTGTGTTTGTCTCCATGCCCTCCAGAGAAAAAAGCGTCGACTCGGCCTCGCTCGGCTGCGGGCACACCGACGGCGACGGTGATGCTGGCACCCATATGGCAGTGCTTGTGGAACGGGGCGAGAGCAGCCCGGAGCTCAAGGCCAGATCAAGTGTTTCGTCGTCCAGCTCTGGCGGCGAGTGTGGCGGTGGCGGCTGGCGGGGCGGTGCTGACGCCTTGGGGCGCGGCTGCTGGGGTAATGGCGGCTTCCGCGACGCACCGAACATGGCCTCTCATGTGACAGATGGCGGCTCTGCGCCCGGCGGCAAGCCACGTTTTGTGAGAGAAGGCGAGCAGCAGCAGCAGTTGCCGATAGATGGGCGGTCACATCAGCCACTTTCTCACCTTGAGATCTGCAATCTGAGCTCGCACATCTTTCGGCTGTTTTTCTCTTTAGACACGTGAGGCGAGGGCATTGACGGTGCGTGCAGGAAGGGCACACGCGGAGGGGGAAGGAGGGAGGGAGCACTAACGAGCACCGAATCGATGTGTGTGTCTGTGGATGCATCCGATGCAGGCCAGGCTCGTCGCATGAGATCATAGGCAGGCGGGCAACTCGGTCTCTCTGCTTCAAGGTGTGCATGTCCGCCAGAAGAGCTCCACAGAGAGGTCACCTGCATGGATGTGTTGCGTGTGCTCTGTGTTCCCTCTCTCAGCATGGTGTCCATCGTGTACCCCCACGAGCCGCCCCCCGCGGGCACTGTGCTGTCCACCGAGGCCACCTCTTTCCCCCCCGACCTCTCCGCGCGCCTCTCCATCCACCAACTCGTCAAAAACGCCCACGAGACCGGCGGCAGGAACGTCTTCTGGACCACAGACGTCGCCACGGAGCTGCCCATCCGCGTGGCCGACTACGGCCCCGGCAGCGAGGCGCCAATCACCGTCATCGAGTCGTTTGCTGACACGGTGAGGCGGTACAAGACGCGGGCGGCGCTGTTCTGGCAGAAGGCTTACGGGCAGCCCAACACGCCGTGGGAGAGCCTCACGTGGCAGCAGTTCTGGAACGAAGTCTGCCGTTTCGCCAAGGGCCTCATTGCTGTCGGCTTCCCCGACTACGCGCGAGTGTGCATCCTGGGCTACAACGCGCCGGCGTGGTTCATAGCCGAGCTGGGGGCGATGTTCGCCCACGGCATCTCTGTGGGCATCTACACGACCAACCAGGCCGACGCTGTGGGGCACATCCTCGAGGACACCGAGGCGCCCGTGCTGGTCATCGACACGGTCGAGCAGCTCAACAAGGTGGCGACGCTGAAGCGGCAGGGAAGGGCCAAGACGCTGCGGGTGGTGGTCATGTACGCCGAGAGGCCGCCTGCATTGGCAGATCTGGACCCGGCAATGAGTTCGGTGACGGTGCTGTTCTGGGACGACTTCATGGCCAAGAGCGCCGCAGTGAGGGAGAGGGACCTCACTGCACGGATGGAGGCCGCCAGGCCTGGACAGGTAAGGAAGGCACTCGTGGCTTGGTCGATCGGCCGGCAAACAGACAGACACTCTGTCTGTGGTGTGGATGGCTTGACGGATGGCTGCAGTGCTGTTCGCTGTGCTACACGAGTGGGACGACTGGTGTGCCGAAGGGCGTGATGCTGTCGCACGACAACATGACCTGGGTGGCCGGCCAGTGCACCGCCTCGGCTAAGTACGACAACGACGACTGCGCCGTGTCCTACCTCCCTCTCTCACACATAGCCGGACAGGTATGGTACAACCAGACGGTACGGTGACTGACGTCTTTCCTTTCCCTGTCTGTCTGTCTGTCTGTCTTTGTGCTGTCTGTGTCCACTAGATGATAGATGTGTTCATCCCTTTGGCCAGTGGCATGGCCGTATTCTTTGCGGCCCCGGACGCCCTCAGGGGCACCCTCATGGACACGGTGCGGGAGGTGCGGCCGACCTTCTTCTTCGCACCACCACGGATATGGGAGAAAATCGAAGAGAAAATGAAGGCCATCGGCGCACAGGTAAGTCGAATCAATCGGTGAGGGAGGGGTCTTCCCGCAGGCAGGGCAGACACGATATATATATCTCTCTCCGTGTGTGTGTCTGTGTGTGTGTTTCTCTTTTGTGTGTGTGTAGTCGACAGGTTTGCGTAAGCGGTTGGCTGAGTGGGCCAAGGCGGTGGGCAGCCGGGGCACCAATGCCCTGCTGGAGGGCGACAAAGTGCCTTTCGGATTCTCCATCGCCGAACGCCTGGTAAGTAACCCACACAGACAGACAGACAGCCACATGCACGTCGGAAAAGCCACTAACCCCTCTCCCTCCCTCTATATCGATATGCCCCCACTTTGCAGGTGTTCAGTAAGGTTCGCGAGGCGTTGGGTTTCGACAGGTGTCGCGGGTTCGGTGCGGGTGCGGCTCCGCTGCCCAAGGCGACGCAGGAGTACTTTCTGTCGCTGGGCATCCCCATCTGTGACATGTACGGCATGTCCGAGTCGCCCGGGCCATCCACACTCAACATCAACATACCCAAAAGGTATGTCAGGCAGTTAGTTGGGGGTGGCTGGTGGGTGAGAGGGATGGGGGGATGGTTCTCATCTTTTCTCTACTCGCTCTTCTTTCTGTGTCAATCAATGTGTTATATAGGTTCCGTGTTGGGTCTCCCGGCCAGACATTGTCCGGCACGCAACTGAGGATAGATCACCCTGATGGTACGTCCCCCCAGACGGACCGCTTGTCTCTCTCAATGTGTGTGTGATTGAGGTGCGCGTGTGTGTGTGACGATCAGCCCGTGGTCACGGTGAGATCTGCTGGCGGGGCCGCAACGTCTTCATGGGCTACTTCAAGAATGAAGAGGTGGGTGCAGTTGGAAAAGCCGACACTCGCAGAGACAGGCGATGTGTGTGTGCATCGATCAGGCGTCTCGTCAGACGATCGACTCGCACGGCTTTCTGCACTCGGGCGACATCGGATACACCGACAGCGACGGGTGAGTGAGTAGACGGATGGATGGGTGGGGGAAGGACAAACAAACAGGCCGACAAAGACGTGTGTGTCGGTGTGGTGTGGTGTGGTGTGGTGTGGTGTGCAGGTTTCTCTACATCACTGGCCGCATCAAGGAGCTGCTCATCACGGCAGGAGGCGAGAACATCCCGCCAGTTCTCATCGAAAACATTTGCAAAGTATGGTCAGCACGCCAGACCCTCCCTCTCCCTTAAAACCTTACACACGGTCATGACGTGGTGTACCCTGCTGCTGATTGCTGATATTGCCCCTGTCTGTCTTGTTCGTCAGGAGGAGATGCCGTTCCTGAGCAACTGTCAGCTGATAGGGGACAGGAAGCCCTTCTTGTCGCTGCTGGTGTGCCTCAAGTCAGAGGTGGACGAGAACATGCAGCCGACCGACACCCTCAGCGTTGACGTGGCCAAGCTCATGCGCACACGGGGGGTCGCCAACCCACCAACCAGCGTCAGGGCCGCTGCAACACACCCGGTACAGTGCCTAACCTAGGCTGGGCTCTCACACACATGGCATGGGGGCGGGAGGAAGGGAGATGGTCCGTCGATTTGCAGGTGATTCAGGAGCTGCTGGCTGAGGGCATCCAGCGGGTCAACAGCAGAGCCACTTCACGGTCAGGAAGCTGTCAATAACACACACACCAGCACACCAGCACACACAGACACATCTCTCTCCCCGTGTGTCGTCCATGCAGTGCGCAGCAGATCCGCAAGTGGCGCGTGTTGCCTGCCGACTTCACCGTGGCGTCTGGCGAGCTGACGCCCACCCTGAAGCTCAAGCGGCCGGTGGTGCTGCAGAAGTACAACGCCCTCGTCAACGAGATATACGAGGGCGCCGACACCAACAACGCGGCCGGGGTCGGTGGGGGGCCTATGGCGAAGCTCTGACGTGCCATCCTGTTGTGTTGTCGCTTTCAATGCTGGTTGGTAGTTTCTTTGCTTGTTTGTGGAAGGAGTTTTCCTTGTATGTGTCGTCTATGTGTGTGTGTGTGTGTGTGTGTGTGGACGCAGGCGAGCCGTCAACAGACGCACGCTCGCAGTGGTTTCTCTCCCTCTCCCCAGCTGTCTCGCTTATCTACCTGTGTGTGTGATCTCTCTGTGTGTGCGGTGATTGGTTCCTTTATGCACACGATGGACGCTCTGTGTGTCGCGGCATTGGTCGCTTTGTGCGTCGGCAGCAGCGATGACAATACACGGCCCGACACAGATCTGTCGGGTCGCTGTATTGGCACCGCCGTTGTTGACGCCCAAGGCATCGATGCCCACAGACACATGAAGCAAGACAGTGTCCTTTTCCTGACAAGCAGAATTAGGCGTGCGATCTTTTGGTATCGTTCGTCGATATGCCGGTGGTTTGTGTGGAAGTACCAAAAGATCCCTCTGTTGCTGTGTTGAGGTGTGTGTGGGATGGCGGTCTTGGACGCGGGGGCTTTTCGTGTCAGCACACGGATGGCTCTCACGTCCATGGCCGCCGTCCTGTCAAGCCCTCGCAGACACACTCAACAAGGCCTGGGCTGGGGAGGGCGTGTGTCCAGCCTGGCTTGCAGACTGTGTCAACGGATTTATTCATCCAAACGATTTGTGCAGTCAGTCATTGATGGCAATGAATCCCCCAACCAATCTACCTACCCACCCTCCGCACCGACCGCTATACAGACCACCCACACCCATCCATCGGACACACATACACACGTACGCTAGTCACGCCTTGATCCCCCTGGTCTTGAAGTCATGGGCGTCAGCGATGCTCTTGCCGTCCCGGTCCCTGGCCAGGGGCCTCCGCATGTCATAGGCGTCCTCACTCCCGCTGTAATACCCGCTCACCACCCGCCACACGACGTACCCCAGCTTCCGGTAGAACCGCACCGCCACAGTGTTGCTCGGCCGCACAAACAGGTCCATGAAGAAGCACCCGTGGATCCGGTCACACACGTCCTCCAGGTACGCCATCAGCCGCTGGGCCAGGCCGGTCTTGCGGAAGTCGGGCGCGATGGACAGCGCCGTCACGTGGCCATGCCAGCTGTCATTTGAGCCCTCGACCTTGCCGATGATGTATCCCGCGATGGTGTCGTCAGGTGTGGCTGCGACGACGCAGCACTCGGGCCAGTTGGTGAGGTAGTGGAGGTAGAAGTCGGTGCGGAAGGTCTCGGTGAAGGCGTCCAGGTTGACGTTGTTGAACTTGAACAGGTCATCCACACTCAGCAAGCGAATCGTCACCATGATCAATGATTTCGACTCATAACAGGCCTCCCGGCGATGCAGATCTGGACCAGAGAGTGGCAAGGATGAGAGAACCGACTGCACGAGGTCCCTGCGCGCTTACTAGTTCTGAGTAGCGGTGCGAGCTTTTTGAAAACTGAGGAAGGCTTTCCCATGGCCATGGGTATTCGGGATCACAGAATGATGTGTTGGCTGCTGCTGGCGTCTGTTGCACTGCTGCTGCAGCGCCCTGCCACATCCCTGGCCAGCAACCTGTCGGCCCTTCCTGTGGCCGAGTGCCGCCGGACCTTCCACATCGGGGCCTACCAGTGCCCCCCCGAGTGCTTATACATCGCCCCCGACCCCTTCTGGAAGTGTAGGAGAGCCTCTCACTGATGTGGTCCATGATTGTCTCATCGGTTGCCTCGTGACGCTTCCTTGTGCAGGTGCGGCGCTGTGCCTGGAGCCCCACGAGTGCAGAGTATACAACCCAGGTGTGCATAAGTGCATCAAAAAGGGGGACGGGCCATCCATATGTTTGTGCGGGTGCGTGTGTGCTGTGTGCGTGTGTGTGTGGTCAGAGACGCGGCTGCCTGACCCTGAGAACCTCCTGTGTGAGCCGTGTGGGGTCAGCGGCTGCAAGGAGTGCAGATACAAACACAAATGCTACAAATGTAAGATCGACCAGAAGAGAAAACTTGCGGCATCTTACTTAAAGCGTGCAGGCCGTGATGGCTTTAGCCTGAGTGAGGATGGCGCCACCTGCACTCACTGGCTGAGTCTTGTGTTCTCCACCATGATGATCGCCGCCGCAGCTGCTATTGTGGCACTCATCACATACGTAGCCATCATGCTCTGCTGCGCAACCCCCAAGTCAGCCAGCAATCCAATCAAGGGCCAACCCACATCATGATGTGTATACGTGTCCGCCACTCCCCCTCCCTCCCTGCTTGTTGCGCAGGAATCGTGTTGTGCTTGAGCATGCAGAGCGGCATAGGTCCTTTTCCAAGTACCGTGACCACAGGGAGCCCCACCAGCCACTCTACGACATCCTCACGGACATGCACCGCTCAAACATCGCGGGTGTGGGGCTGGGGCTCTACATGAACTTCATCGTCTTCATCGGCTGGTGCGGCTTCATCCTCCTGATGGCCTCGCTCACCCTTTACTTCACCACCCCCGTGTCGGACAACGCCAACTCGCAGCCTCATGGATGCTCTGTCAAGATATATGCCGACGCGCTCAGAGAGCACAGGGGAGAGCTGTCGACAAACCCTTTTAGTGGCAACATGACTGAGATGACGGTCGTCCACAAGCGACAGCTTGTGGGCGGTGGTGGTGCGGCGAGGACCACAGCCAAAGGGAGTTTCGGCTCTGTGAGCATCGGGGGCGTCGATCACCCGTATGGCAGCATCGAGGCCTTCCAAAAGGCGGCGCAGCACATGGGCTTTATCGTGTACGGCCTCATCATGCTGGCGACTTGTGTGTTTGCGGCCATCCAGCGGTGCCACGAGCGGCGCTTCTACCACGAGGACAACACCCTGGCTAACTACGTTGCTCTCGCCCGGGGGTTCCCGCGGGACGCCACATATGAGGAGGAGATCCGGACGTACTTCGAGAAGCTGCTGGGTCAGGACATTGTGGGCGTGTCCATTGCATATGATTTGTGGAACGAAGGCGACATCGTGAGCTGCAGCCAGATGGACAGACAGACGCGCCTGTCCATTTGTGCGTGTGGGGTTGGCTGTCAGATAGAGCGGCTGATGGACCGTCACCTGGAGCTGCGCGACCTCTCCCAGGGCACCTACTCCCCAATGCTCTCCCGTCTCATGCTCAAAACCACAGACGAAGAACACAAGTCAGTCAGCATCCACATGAGACAACACACAAGGGCAAAAATCTCCTGGCCGCCATGTCTCCACCATCCAATGCAATGCAGCGCCGAAGCTGAGGAGCTCCGTCTTCTCCGCGAGAAGGCCCTCCAAGTGGAGTCATCGGGCTACGCCTTTGTGGTCTTCCACACTGACAGCAGCAAGTGGCGGGCGGTTGACATCTTCGCGGACCTCAGAGAGAGGGAGACGGATGCCGAGGCGGCCGTCGCGGAGGCGGAGGTGTTTGACGAGGATGAGGACCTGGACGGATCGCTGGTGGCGGAGAGGGAGGCCGAGAGAGACCGTTTGGCCGTGTGGCGGTTCAGAGGCAAATACCAGATACACGTACGGGTGGATGGATGGATGGTGTGTGGGGCCGGGTGAGGAAAGGAAAGGCGTGTGTGTGTGTGTGTTCAGCTCAAAGACTTTCCGATGGAGCCAACCATGATCCAGTGGGAGAACTTCGGCTTGGGCAAACCAGAAAGGGTGAGTGAGAGAGTGGGGACGGGACGGGACGGCATGGGCAGAGACACACATCACATGACCGTTGTGCTGTGCACTGCAATGCACTGCAATGCAGCTGCTCCGCTTCTTCTGGGGCATATGCGTCATGTGCATCTCGGTGTTCGTGTGGTCCATCATATTCTACGGGCCGTACGCCTTCTACTACACGGCGCTCACACAGGTGCCCGGGAAGCGCCCCTCCTTTCTGGAAGACACCTTCCTCGGCCTCATTATTGCTGTCGGTAAGTAAGTGGGTCAGGACGCCATGCCGCCCATTCTCTCCTTCCCCCAACAGGCAACGGCATTATGGGCGAGATCGTGTTCCGTGTGGGGTATTGGGTGGGCTTCCAGCGGAAAGACTCCGTCGACAAGTACATTCTCGTGCTCAACTACATAACCGTCATGGTCAGCCATCGACACACACATGCCAAGAGACAGCGTCCAATGTCCTGGCTGTCTGCAGGTCAACACGCTTCTCGATCTGTATCTGGGCTACGTCGCGGCAGAGGGCCGCGTGAGAGACAACGCCTTCCTGGGCCAGCGGCACACAGGGGAGGAGGGGCACTTCGCGGAGATCACCTTCGGCCTGCTCATCCCGGGCACACTCGTCCTGCCTTACCTCGCCTTGCCGCTGGTGACACACCTGGCCCCATGGCTGGTGGGCAGGTGGGTCCTCCGATACAGCAAACGAGACGTAAATGAGGAGGGAGGGAGACAAGCCCGCATCCACACCGACAGCCGCACACCACACCTGTGTGTGTGTGTGTGTGTGTGTAGATGGCAGCCCGTCCGGCGGAGAAGATGCTGGAGCCGCCGATTGTTGACTTGCCATGCAAGTACGGCGACCTGGTGATCAACGCCAGCGTGTGTCTGGTGATGCTCTTCCTCGTCACCGACCTGGCCTGGCCCATCTTCCTCTTCCTGATCGTCTTCTGCATCTACACCTACTGGATGGTACGTGAGTGAGTACGTGGAGAGCGTCCAGGCCCATATATGGTCATGGTGTCTGTCCCATCCATGTGTGTGCTGGTGTAGGATAAGTGGCTCTTTCTGCGGCATTCGAAGCGGACGTTCTTCAGCACCAGCGCTGTCGACGATATGGGTGAGTTGGCTTCATTGCAATGGCCACCATTGCGTATGACTGACACGGAGAGGGAAAGACCGTACGTCTTTGTCTGATGGTAACTTGTGGGCGTGCAGTGCTGCGAATGTGGGTGGTGCCGACGGGAGTGTTGGCTGCGTGTCCCGTCTACTGGGGTGCGAGGCGACAGGTGTGGGAGTGGTGGTACATCCCCATCGCCATCGCCGCACACACTGTGGTCAGTGCGCAGGGGAACGAATGGGAAATGGAGTCACGTCCCTCCTCCCAACTCACTGCATGTCATTGTGTGTGTGTCAGGTGTATGGGCTGCTGCTCGAGGTGCTGATTCCATGGCTGGTGCCCCTATACAAAGATGAGAAGGACGAAGTATACGATGAGGTGACCCTTCTGGACAAAAGCGAGACAGACAGACAGACAGAGAGACAGAGAGACAGACAGAGCGAGAGACATTTCTGCCTCCCTCCTGCGTGTGTGAGTGCAGGTCCGTTCTTATTTGCCGTATGACGCCTTCAACACCAACCCCATCCATGTGCTCAAGTCACAACAGGGCGCTACCACGGACGAAGCACCCCTTGTATACTACGAACCAGGTAAGAAGAGAGCACAAAGGAGAATGAACGGGGAGACACAACACGTGTGTGTGTGTGTGTGTGCAGGGAAGGATTATCTGCAAGGCGAGCGCTTCGGCTCCTATGAGGCGGAGACGATGACTTGCCAGGAGTGCTGCGGTGGATTCAGACTGCAGCAAAGACAGCAACGACTGCTGATGAGCCACAGCCACTCACCATCACCAGTTGCCTCTGCCACGCAGCTGCCGTACAGCGCCGCCCCTCAAACACAGACACGCGGATGGGGGTGGGGTTCCCCATCGCCAATAATATCCACTGTCTGGCGAGCACCGGGCGTGGGGTATGCGAGGGCACCGAGGATTGAGCCTGCCGGTGCTGTCAGAGGGGCTGGTGTTGGTGCTGTGGGTGGGGGAGGGGGAGGGGGTGGGTATGTCAGCGTGGCCAGGGGGTATGTTTGATTCGACATCAGGAGGGAGGCACCAGGCTTGTCTGTTGGTGTGTCAGTGCGATTTGAAACAAGTCACTAGTACTGGTCCGTTCCGTTCCGATGTGCAAACAACAAAACTCTCTCCCCGCCGGCCCGCCCCCATGTAATGGCTACCACTACTGACTGCACGAACGAACGAACCAATGGCCAGATGTTTGTATGACCTATGTACCGGCCCGGCCTACAGTAAAGAAACACCGCTGGCTGCTAGATTAAAGAGCCAGGCAGGCAGGCAGGCAGGCAGGCCACCGATATATCAGGCAGGTATGCAACACTTGTACCAAACAGCTGCCATACGTATACCCTCCCTCCCCTACCCTTATGGACCATCGACACATTGATAAGATAGCTCACCCATTCCCGTCGGCTCATTTATGCAGCAATCAAACAATCGTACCGCGACGTGTCCGTTCCGAGTCATCCATCCTTGCCACCGAGTCCTTGAGGAGCTCCTTTCGCCTGCGCGTAACGAAACGGAGCTCACGAAGCAACTGGAGGGAAAGGAAGACCCGGCAGAGACGAGAGCACACAACAAAGACAAAACGATACTCTGTCAGGCTGGCTGATACTCTGTCAGGCTGGCTGCCTGTCAGGCTGACTGATCCTCTCCACTTGCCGCCTCTCTCTGTTCCTCTCGCCTCTTCTGTCGACCTCCTTGACGCTCGTCCGAAGGGGAGTGCTGCACTCCGTTCAGATGACCGTCGACGAGAACGACTCAAAGAGACGAGAGCGACGAGAGGCGGGCGGCAGCACGGCAAAATGATGGCAGAAAACAAACACGGCGCTCACTGGCAGCAGTGGCGGGAATCTGCACTCTCTCCGCCTCTCTCTTCCATGTAGCCATCCACTCACACACACCTACACACACACGCACGCACGGCACGCAAGACGTTTATCACGTCTGTAGCAACGCATGGCATTACACATCATCCATCCAGCATGGACAGCAAACCGCCACCACGTAGAATAGCAGACAGCCAGACAGACAGGCAGCAAGAAAAGGAACTATGAAAAACTGACAGATACGCGGGAGGCACATTCCTCAGGTGGCAGACAGCAGCTGGCAGACAAGAAAGGAGGACTGACTGACTGACTGACCGGCGTCTCTCTCTGTTGTTCTCAGACACACCTACACATACACATACACAGACACACACATATACACGAATTACACGCAGTGGGGAGGGCTTCACTTCTCTGGACACCTTAACTAAAGTTGGGGTGGGGAGCGGTGCGGTGCCTCTGCACACGCTCACAGGCACTTTCATGGCTGGCTGTACTCACCATCCACCGAGCCACCGACTGAGCTACCGACTGCTGTATAAGTAAAAAATGACGTCATGTGCGTAAGACAGACAGACAGACAGGCAGCCCCATGAGTACTTGGCTGCTCACAAAATACGGCAGCACTTTCTTCCGCTCTCCCGGCGACTCACTTGTCAAAACCAAGACAGACAGACAGACAGAGAGGCACTAGCGATATAAAACAAACAACATCATATGCATAGCTCACCGCCTGCACCCAAACATGCACCAATCGATTGACCAGAAAAAGACTACTACTGCTGTAGGTAGGTACCCCTATAGCCCTCCCTCGCCCCCCACCCCCCTCGCGTCGCTCCCCACCCCACCCCACCTCTCACACACAAGCGTCCGTCATACGTATAAAACATACACACACAATGGAACACAAAACGAGACAGCCAAATAAACAATCCCACTGACACAGCACGACAGCCCGGCCACAATCATGCCCGTGCACTGGACGAGGCCTCGGCCGACCCGGATGAGCCCTGGGAGCCCCTGGAGCTCTTGGACAGGTCGGACCGCGGCGACTTGCCCTTGCGGGACCCCTTCTTGCTGCGCGGCTTCTGCGGCGGCGTGCTGTAGTCCTGCGATGTCACGGGCGTCTTGCGCTCCAGATAGCGGTACACAAACTCGGTCATCTCCTCACGGGCAGACTTGTCGGACAGGTAACCTGACACACACACACACAGACGGACTATACAATTGTGCTTTGTGTTGAAGGGGTCTGTCTGTCTGTCTGTCTGTTTGTGTGTGTGTGTGAGGTCCACCGTACCGTTGTGGCTGACGTGTCCGTCGGGCCTGACGAGCGTGAAGGCGCCGTATCGCCTGCCGACCTTCTGGCCGGCGGACGCGATGGACGAGGGCGCAGTAGACTCTGACATCTCGTCGACGACCGAGAGATCAGAGGTGTACCCGGTGAAGTCGCTGCCCTCCTCGTGCACCACACCCATCCCGCGGCTGAACGAGAAGGCCGGCGGCCGGGGGTTGAGGCGGTACCGAAGACGCTGCGCCAACTGCAGACAGACACGCAGAGAGATAGACAGACAGACAGACAGATAAGAGGCGCACGCGCGCGTGGTGGAATGGGCAAAGGGGGGTGGGAAGGGCGGTGTAGTAGGGGATTCGTACCTCTCCCTCGCTGTCCCATGTGACCCAGATGTCGGACTCTTCAAACCCAATCTCACCACTGCACATGTCACATGCACACACCACAAGACGCATCACATCAAGGAAGGCGCATCCATTTCCATCCGGCCCCCACCCCTCACTCACGCGCTTGCGTCTTTGAAGCACTGCTCAATGAAGTCGACAAACACCTCGGTGGACGATTTCTTGCCCGTCGTGTCCGTCAAAGTGCTCTCATGCCGCCTCGATGGCAGAGGCAGCACACTCACGCCCACACGAGAACCGGAAGACACCTCCTCATGGTGCTGCTGCTGCTGCTGTGATGAGTGGTGCTCGGGGCTGCCACCGTGCCCATGCACAGCGTGAAGACCAACAGCGGCGTCCGGCGAGACTGTGTGTGTGGCGGTGGTGGGGCTGGAGTGGCGCTCGTGGCCGCTGCTGTGGTCGGATGAGGTGGTGAAGGGCTCCTTGATGGTCGGCAGGAGGGGCTGCATGGTGGCCTTGCCAGCCGTGAAGGCCAGGATCACCCGCAGGCCGCCCCACACAGTGGATGACGCCACGCCCAGGCGCTTCATGGTGTCCACGGCAAGGGAAACCGCGTTGCGGATCAAACCTTGCACCAGCACTGACACCACCACACACACACACACACCATCCATCCATCTCTCTCTCTCTCTCTCTGCGTGTGCGGTTGGCGTACTGTTCTCATCGATGAGGGTCTTCTCGGCGATGCCGGGGAAGAACGGCTCGAGGGCGCTCTTGATGAGGTCCTCGATGACGCCCGCGACACTCCTGTCGTCGCTGCTGTGTCTGCTGACGAGCCCTGAGACGGAGGTCATGATGCTGCTGGGTGTGCTGCTGATGTCGCTGGCCATGGACACGCTGCGCTCGCTGCGGGGGGTGCCGGGATCGCTGCTGCCGATGTCGCTGCTGCCGGCCACGCTAGGACCCGCACTCACCGCCTTGCCTGTCGTGTTGGGCAGCCGGATCGTGAACACCAGCGTGAAGTGCTTGCCGGCCGTCACCTATACACACACACAGAGAGAGAGAGACACACACACACACACACACACAGAGAGAGAGAGAGAGAGGGAGAGGGGGGGGGAGATTGGCGCATGGATCTGCCCGTGTGGGTGGGAGGCATGGCTTACTTCGTGGAGTCTGACAAAGGTGAGTCTGTCAGATCGGTCCAGTTTGGCCATCATACCGTCCGGGATGCGCTGGCCGGGCTGCAGGCCGCCACGGATGTTGGCACGACCCGTCGCCAGACTGCATGCCACGCAGCACAGCACATGTGGTGGGCTACGTTGGTGGGGTGGGTGCGTGTGTGAGTAACATCTCATTGCTTACGTGTTGGTTGGGTATCTGACTCTGATTTGGCTGAGTTTCTGCGTCATGAGGCCGTTGACCCATCCGGTGCCGGACTCGTTGAGCACATAGGGCACCAAAGTCTTGAAGGCCCAACTCACCCACTGATCTGCACGCATACATACCGTTGATCGATCCATCAACGGCACACGGACGGCCGACGGACGGATGTGTGTGTGCTCACTTCCTCTGGCCACTTGCTGTCCCGGCAGGCTCGTGATCAGACGAATGTGGTCTGAACCATTCATTACACACACACACACACACACGAGAGGAAATAAAACGGCGTGTGGACGTGTGTGTGTACCGTTGACGGGTTGTCGTTCGCCGTTGTATGAGTCGATGAGTACGGGGTAGGCCCCGCCCCGCACCACCTGAGCTATCTTCCAACCCAAATTGTGGGCGTCCTGGATGCCTGATAGGTAGAGCGACGGACGGACGGACAGGCGCATCGACACACCCACCATGCCCAACACGCACACAACACACCCCAAACCCCACCGCCCGACTTATTCACTTACCGGTGTTCATGCCCTGATGGAACAGGGGGGCGTGGATGTGGGCCGCATCGCCTGATCAATCAACATCAACCCACAAGGAGATTATGCGTTGGTTGAGCTGATCGGCCGGCCGCATTTGTGTGTTTGTTTCGGTGTCACGTCACGTCTCGTGACGTACCTGCGATGAATACTCGGCCCTTTTGGAAGCTGGCGGCGCAGCAGCAGATGACGGGCGTCCACGACATCCAGTGCACATCCATTACCTTGGCCACCGGGATGATCTGCACATCACACAACAAACACAATCACCACACACACACACACACTCACAAATACCCGCTGGATCATGAATTCGAGGTCGTCCTTGGTGGGGGCCTTGGCGCCAAAGTTGTTGTCGCAGATCTTGCCAAACTCGCTCTCGCCCTTCTCTAGCGAGATGCCGAGCTGCGCAAAGAGGTTGACGATGCCGCTGAACATCCCGCCGCTGTCGGAGAACTCGGGGGCGGGGCCCCTCGACTGGCTGCCGGCCACAGACGCACCATCCTCCTGTGGAGGCTCGGGGTGCTCCATGTGGTGCACCGTCGACGGCTGGTTGGTGTCGCCGTCAGGCGAGTACTGCAGAATGATACACACACGACTAGAGCTGTGTGTGAGTGTGTGTGGATACACCAAGCATGTGACGTGACTGATTCACCTGAACGGCGTATTTGCCAGCGACGTGGTGGATGTAAAGAATCCGCCACTTGTCGCCCTCGCCGCGCAGGCGGACGACCATCATGGCCCGGCCTCGGCGAAAGTAGAGACTCGCCTTGTTCTCGTCGGGAGGAACCGACCAGTCCATCGACACATCCGCTATCACAAACTTGGCTGCACACACACCACACCGCACGCAGACGGAGCGGTCTCTCTCTCTCTCTGTGTGTGTTGTGTGTGTGTGTCTGACCAGTCCGCACACAGACGAATGGCCATCCCATTCCGCAGGAGCGCCTGACAAAACTGTTGGACCCGTCGGAGCCCACCAGGAACATGCCCCTGATGGAGCCGGGCGGGAGCTTGGCCTCGCCGTCCCCCACCACCTGCAGGCACCGTATCCAATTCAATGCAGTCAATGCACAACACCAACCAACCGACCACACCTGTGTGTGTGTGGAGAGAGAGAGCGTCCGTACGTACCGGTTGGAACTGCACTGTGACGCCCTGGCTGTCCTGTGAGATCTCGGTGAGGTCCACGGGGCCCTTGATGCGGTGGCCGTTGCCAGAATCGATAATGTGCTTTAGCAATATCCTGACACACCCACCCACATGTGTGTGTGTTGGGGTGTGTGTGTCTGCTCTGTACCTTTCGATTTCACTCTGTTCGACCAGGATAGCGAATGGGTGTGCGCTGTCCATCTTTTGCATATTGTAGCGCCAGTCCACCGCCAGCTCGCCGTCCACGAAGATGCGCTCGCCGACCTCCTCAATCCCCGCCTCCTTGACGTCGTCCAACACTCCCAGATCTGATGAACGAAACAACACACATAACACACATACCAATCCATATAATCAATGACCCGGCCAGATCAGCAGCACACAGACAGACAGACAGACAGCTGGCTGGGCTTGGGCTGGATGGCTCTCTGACCTTCAAACACCTCAATTGACCGGGACGTCACCCCGAGGATCCCGTAGCACTCTCCATTCTGCGGCAATCCACACACACGGCGTGTCTTGCTTCTCGCGTGGTATTGATTCAGATCCCGTGTGTTGGGTGGCGTCGCGTGGAGTGGGTCTGTCTGTCTGTCTCTCGCTGACCTCGATCGTGGCGGGGCTGACACGCAGCTCGGCGTTTCGGACGCCCCCGATGCTCTGCCAGTGCCCGCGACGCAGCACATTCTTGAGCATCACCCACTCCACACCGCGACGATTCAGCTGCAAGACAACACAAGACAACACGACAAACAAATGTGCTGCGCGAGTCAGTCTTTACAGCACCCAACCACAACACACAGCGCCCCTTCTCTCGTCTGTGTGCCTCAGTGTGTTACCTCGCAGGCCAGAGTGAGGGCAGTGACAGAGCAGCCCGAGATGATGACCTCCGTCTCGGGCGGGATATCATAGTCCCGCGGGGTGTTCAGGTTGACGTATGTCCCCTGCTGCTCTACCGATGGCCTCGGCTGGGCCATACTGCTTGCCTGCGCCTGGCCTGATCAGCTGCGGCGTCTCCGACTAAGATCCAACCAGATCTGCACTGCCGTGGGCCTGGCCGCTCACAAGGATCCCAAAAGTGAAAAAAAGCTCGCCAAACAGATCGACAAAAAAACCAAAGGAACGCGCCACATCGCTGATACGGTCCATTGAGCGGCTTGCCGAGGCCCACCGGTCCCGAAATCTCAATGATCTACCACTGACATCCACCCTGCGTGCCAAGGCCGCACTCCTCACCGCCATCGCGCTGGTCGCCGCAGCCGCCGGCCTCATCGCAGCCATGCGCACCCTGTCCAGGCCCCTCCTGTTCTGCTGCTTCACCGTCTTCCCACATGGCGGCAGCAGATACGCCGGATCTCTCTTATCGCATGCCCGCCCTCTGACGGCCTTTGCGGCGCCCATCAGCCCAAGCAGTCCCAGCACCGTGGGCGCCAACATTGGCCACCATAGTCATGGTCATAGCTACTACCATCGGCCTTTCAGCACTGTGGCGGCGGCGCTGCCGTCGTCGATGGTAGTGGGTCAGACGGACACGGAGGAGTTTCGGGTGGTGTTCAAGGATGAGGAGGGGAGGAAGGTGTCGCCGTGGCACGATGTGCCGCTACAGGCAGGTCGGTAGGGTGGTCCACACACATATAGAGGGGTGAGAGAGAGAGAGGGTGCACCATTGTTTGTCTGTGTGTGGGGGATTGTGTCATGCAGACGGCAAGGGGTTGTATCACTTCATCACGGAGATTCCCCGTCTGTCTAAGGCCAAGATGGAGGTCGACACCAAGGACGAATTCAACCCCATCAAACAGGACATCAAGAAGGGGTCAGTCAGTGGGTTGTGTGTGGGCCACACACACACACACACGCAGATAGTGAGGCCATCGTGTGTGTTGCCCGGGCATACAGGAAGTTGCGATACTACCACGGCCCGATCTTTTGGAACTACGGTTGCTTCCCACAGACATGGGAAGACCCAAACGAGAGGGGGGGCAAAGAGGTCAGTCAGTCAGTCTACAGCTCTCTGACTGACAGTCACATAGACCCCGACACACATGGAGTGACTGACGGATGTGATGTTCAGGTGGATGAGTCGTTCGGCGACAACGACCCTTTGGATGTGGTGGAAGTGGGCCAGGAGCCCCTCGAGATGGGATCCGTCACGCCCGTCAAGGTAGGCCAACACGCGCGCACACACACACACACACACACGACGGGAGGAATCATAGAGCAGACCGCTCTTATCTGTTTATCCATTCGTCTGTGTCTGAACAGGTGCTGGGTGCGTTGAGCATGATTGACGACGGCGAGCTCGACTGGAAGATCATCGCCATCAAGGTAAGGAAGGTGCACTGACTGAGTGCATCCCCACCAACATGTGTGTGTACGTGTGTGTGGCGTGCGGGTGTGGGCATGGTGTGGTTTGTCAGGTGAGCGACCCCCACTTCGACTCGATCGACTCCCTCGAGGATCTCGAGAAGTTCTACCCACACACCATAGCCGGCATACGAGAGTGGTTCAGGTACACGCCCCCACTCACACACACACGCACGCACACACGATGGAGGAAGGGAAAGAGCCACATAGGCCTCAATCGTATGTGCGTGTGTACACGGTACTTGACCATGCCTCTCTCTGCGTCACGTCAATTGCAGGTGGTACAAGGTGCCTGATGGGAAGCCCCTCAACTCCTTCGGCCACGACGGACAGGCCATCAACAAAACTGCAGCGGAGAAGGTCGGAATGACACACGCGCCACGCACACGGGCCATTGATGACGCGTGTGCGTGGTGGGCGTTGTGTGTTGACACCTGTGTCGGTGTGTGTGTGTTTCAGGTGATATCTGAGACGAACGAGGCGTACAAGAGGCTGCTGAAGGGCGAGGTGGCCAAGGGCAAGCTGTGGATACGCGTCAAGACACCCGATGCGGCCGGATAGACACATGTGTGACTTATTATGGATGGGTGGATGCAGGTCTGCGTCGCATGCTGACAGATGAAACGTGGACGCATCTGATGAGCCACGCCCCCATTTGGCTCATGGAGCGCGTCCAGTGTTGCATCGCAGGCAGGCAGGCAGGCAGGATTAGTCGAATAAAGACTTTTTGGACGAAGGTTTTGGCTGTACAACACTTGAATGGCCTTTCCCACACATACACACGCATCGACCCACATGTCTACTATTGGTTGGTCCGACGGTCCATCCATCCATCCGTAGGTCCCAACGAATTCCTTACTGTATGTGTGTGCACATACTCGCCACATGGACTGACTGATTACACATGGCGCAACGCAATGCCACACAGCTGGATGCCCTCACTCACACACGCATTGCATTGCACTGCATTGCCTTATTTGATGACTCTGTATATGCCGGGGGCCACGGGATTCAGATCAATCTTGTGAAAGAACGTTGACGGCTGCACACATGACACCACACACACCACCACACACGTGGAGTGGATGGATGAGGGCCGCATGGGATGAATGCATTGTGGCCACCACTGACCTGTCTGCAGTAATGGCATTTCTGGTCAGTGATGAATATCTGGCGCGCACAAGTGTAGCAGCCTGACACATACACATACACATACGAATACACAAAAACGATGCCTGCAGCCCCCGTGTGTGTCCCATCGGCCGGCCGGCGTACATGCGGAGTGTCCGCACTCCATTATGATCCCGTTGGCCCTGGCCGCGCGACAAACGATACACGCGTCCTCGCCATTCTCTGCCCGAGACACAACACACACACACATCCTTTGGTGGTCATCTCCACTCCCGTCGCTGCGCGCCCACCGGACCTGATTCCGATATTTGGCTTTCAGACTTAGACACGGCCCCTTCCTCCTCCCTGCCGGCCGGCAGCGGCAGGGTCTGGCTCTCGATGTCGCCCACTGCTGCCATGGGGCGGGGGATGGGGCCGCTGTACCTCAGGTAACAGGCGTTGTGCTTCTGAATGATAGATAGCCAAGAGAGACGTGACATGTATTTCGTGGCAGAGGATCCATTTGTGGCTTTCTGCTGCTCACTTTGACATATCTGGGTCGGATGTATAAGGAGGGGAGGAATCGTCGAGGGTTTACGCCGAAGGCCGTCCAGCTGGGAGACACACACAGACACATACACAGAGAGAGAGGGAGGGAGAGAGAGACATGTCCACAATTGACTACAGTGTCTCAATGCCCTCTTGTCAGGTACTCTGGCGCCCGGGGGCCGAGCATCCTGACACACACACGCATTCATTGCTGTGTCTCTGTCTGTGTCTTTGCCGCCGCACCGGTAGACGAGGCACTGGTAGGCAAACGCCAGGAAAAAGAAGCCCAACACGGGGTAAGCCATATAGGCCAGCCTGTAGAAGTTGGTCTGGAACTGCAGCCACATGAGCAGCATGATGTGCCACCACAGGGCCGCCACAATGAGCACCAGCCACGGCAGCTCCTCCAGCACCACACACAGCCGCGAGAAGAACAGCTGCTTGGCCTGTTCGGGCGTGCTGTCCGGCGCGCCGCTGAACCGACTCAACTTGGCTTGCAAGATCTGAATGCGCCCGTTAAGAGCAGAGGTGGATGGGGTCGCGTGTGTGTTGATGTGTGTGATGGCTGGCTGCTTACGTGCAGCAGTTCTTCGCCGAGAAATGCGCCGACAGCGAAGTTCTGCCAACTGCAATTGAGGCAGGCAGACAAGGAATGGGAGGATGTCACTGGGTTGCCCTGTGCTTGGGGTGGGAAGGGGTGGGAAGGTGTGTGGCTTACACGAGTACGACCACCCAGCTGATGCGCCAACCATCGAGCTTCATCGCCGCCGCCACTCTGCAAATGCACACAGACAGACGTCCATCCCCCAGTGCAGCCGTGTGTTCATGTGTGTGTGTGTGTGTGTGTGTGTGTATTGATGTAATAGCTTACCCGATCCATACGACTATCGCTGTGATGAGGTGGTGCGTGTCGGGGATGTAGAACTTACACTGACTCATCACGTTGATGTGCAGCGCCGCATTAACAAGACGACTGCATACAAAGACCCACCCAAAGAAAGGCAAAGCCAGCAGCGTGGGCCCCATTCTCCCACACTCTTCCCCGTACCCGTTCAGCCACCCATAGCCGCACATGACATAGCTGCCGAACTTCTGTGTCTGTATCTCCACCACCAGCATGGCGGCCGTCGTCAGCTCCAGAAACAGGATCAGCAGTCTGCCCAGCGCCAGCTGGGAGTGTGCGTGTGGCGGGCCAGGTGGGTCGCGGCCGTGAGAGGTGTACAGCCAGAAGGTTCGGGCGGTCATGGCGGTGATCTCGATGTACTCCACCACTCGGTTGACGGCCCACAGCAGCACCAAATGGTCCCTGACAACCAACCCACGACACACAACACGCCATGTGCACGCCACCTCTCTCCTCTCCCCCCCGCCCCTCCCGCTGCACGCACCAGCGAATATCATAGCCGAATGAGTCCTTCATGTGCAGCAGGGCCACGGTGGCGAGTGCGAATGCGAGGAAGATGGTCATGCGATGGATGGCACTCCTGTCGCAGAAGTAGCTCGTCCTGTCGCGGAACCTGACACGGGCGAACTGCGACGGCTCCTCATCCTCATCATCCCCACGAGGGGTGTGAAAGACATCATTCCCACGCCCACCCCGCCGCTGCTCAGAGTCGCTCCGGATGATGTGCTGCGCACTGCGGCTCTGAGCCACAGCCGCCTGCTGCTCCTGCAGCAAGAACGAGTCCCAACAACAACAGATCCATCCATCCATCCATCCATCCATCCATCCCTCGACGCGTCCTCATTTGTACCTGCAGTCGCTTCATGATCCTCTCAGCCCTCTCCCTGTCCTCCGGTGCAAGTCCTCTTGCAATGCCCGCAGCACTGGCAGCACCCACATCGGGCGCAGCAGCAGCAGCAGCGGCCGAGGAAGACCCCGTGGCTGTGCGGCCATCTCCCCGTACTGTACTGGATTCTGTTCTACCGGCAGTCGTATGCCCCCGGGCGAGTGGGGAGCGGTCGGCGAGGGAGAGCCGGCCGCGGGATGCTGCCTTGGGTGAGGAGATGGCACTCGCTGCTGACGGGCTGGGGGGCAGACCGCTCTGCTGAGAACCACCTGAACCGCTAGACATGCCTTAAAGAGCGCGAGACCATAGCTGTTTGTTTACAGGACGATGTAAAAACCTTGATGAAGGTCAGCCATGGTTTTCTGCTGTTTCTGGTCGCCCAGGCCATTGTGGTGGTCATCATCACCACGATCTTTCTGCATTCGCGCCTCCTGCCACCCCTGCGACATCCTGTGGTCCTCCCACATCGACGGAGATCCCTCCACGGAGGGGATGCCAGTCGCCACATACACACGCTGGATGAGCTCATGGCCACCATGGACGGTTGCAACTCTACCTCTTCCTTCTGTCTGCCCTACGACGGCACGCAAACGAGAAAGCGGCTCGAGGAAGTCCTGAAGATCATGGGGCCACTCATAGATGGAGAGGGGGAGAGTCTCCATACCAGCCCACACCTTCGACGCGCCAGGAACCGCCCTCGCCATGAACAGGAGGAGACTCGGAGCTTGTCGCGGCTTTTGTACTTCTTGGCATCGGCATGGCTGCGGCAGTCCATCCCATCAGCCGATGCGCTGTCGTCGGTCCGCTTCCGTGTGGTGATAGCCCACTACAACCAGCCAGAGCTGCTGCATCTTTGCCTCCGCACTCTCATGCACCAGACACACACCAACTGGACCGCGTGTATTGTCGATGACGCCAGCGACCCAGGTACAGACATACACGGACCAGGGAAACTGCATTGATGGAGTATTCCTCTCTCTCTCTCTCTCTGTGTGTGTGTGTGTGTGCAGATGTGGTGCATCAGGTGAAGCAGCTGCGGTCCATTTTCCGCTCTGACTCGAGGTTCTACTGGCGGTACCAGTCCACTAATCGGGGGCTGCTGTACTCGACATTCACCGGGATGGAGTGCCTGCGGCCACACAACGACGACATCGTCGGTAGGCGAGCACACCCGAAGATGACCATTGGATGGATGGATGGATGGGTGCAGTGTGGCTCGACGGCGATGATTTTCTGTGGGGGGATGATGTGCTGCGTCGGGTGGCGGCCTACTACGCCAGCGACGACATCCACCTCACCTTCGGGAGCTACATCTCTCACTGGGACCCCATAGGCTGCTGCAACTGCTCCGCACACAACTGGACACACGTGGCCGCTACAAACAGCTACCGAGACATCGAGTGGACCTTCAGCCACCTCAAGACCTTCAGGTTCGGTCTTGTGCCGCACGTCAATCTGACCCACATGAAGGACAGGAGCGGCAAGTGGCTCAGGTCGGCGTCTGATTTCGCCTTGATGTACCCGTTGCTTGAGCTGTCTGGCGGCAAGTTTCGGTGCATACCTGAGCGGCTTTACTATTACAACGTCAAGAACCCGCTGTCGCACCACAACAATCGGGATCGGAGCAGTGGCAACGGCAGGTCGCTGGCTGCCAACCAGACTGACAACGCCCGCTATGTGCGGCACTTGCCTAGGTATCGGCCCGTTGTGTAGACAGAGAGAGACGCGTTTACTCGTTCTTGCAGCGCCACAGTGGGATGGATAAAGGAGCGTCCATGTAAGGGCCCAATCTAGCGTCCGCATCAACCAATACACACACACTATAGGTCTCTACACATGTACATAACATACACAGACGTCTACTGGCACACACTGCGATTGACACAAATCACGGACGGATCAATACAGGTCAAATGGTGGGGGGCCCTTCAGACGCGCGACGAAGTTCACGGGCAAGGTGTCATGGACATACCTGCATACACACATACACAGATACACATACACACACGGTGGCTGCCATTCGACGAATGCCTCGCGTACCTGTGGAACTTGCGCAGCATTCGTTGGTGCAGCGGCAGCTGTGTCCTCTCGTAGATGGCCTTGAGCCAATCCACACCGATCCCGCCGCCCAGCTTGACCAGGGGTGACTGGTAGCCCTCAAGCCGGGTCTCCAGCTCGAACGAACCAACCTCCATCCCTTTCTGGGACGCCAAGGCCCTCCTCTGATAGGCATAACATAATATAGAGAGAATGGAGATACATCTGTGAAGGATCTGTGGATGAGTGTGGTTGGTTTTTGCGCACTCACTGACCCTTTGTGGGGTCTCCTCCTCTTCTGGTGGTGTGGGCTCTCCATCAGCAGGGATGGGCATCGGGATCAGCCCGCCTCCCCCATCCCCGCCCTTCTGGTCCTCTGCCCTCTTGTCATCGCCATCCTCAATGGCAATCTGCCCCGCGCTCTCCCTTCGCCGAAACCACCTGCTCTCCACAAAGCCACAGCCGAACACCATCCGCCCGTTGGTCACACTGCCCACACCCCCGCCCTCTCTGTACACGAGTCGGCCGCCCATCATGCCGCCGAGGATGGGCATGGCCACCTCACTACTCCGCTGGCCATGAGTGAGTGATGGCGCGCCCAGTGTGAGCAGCCGTAGCGGGGGGATGGACGATATGAAGGGGAAGGGCAGCACCAGGCTGGTGCGGGGGCCGAAGGCAGTCAGCGGGGGAGGGGCGGGTGGCTCCTCAAGCACAGAGAAGAACCGCAGGGTGTACAGGGGCTGCACGCAGCTCACAGCAGTGGGCGGACAGACAGACAGACAGACAGACACAAGGATGACGCATGGCGACCATCTGTGTGCCTACCGTCCATTTGCTGGGTTGGCTGATGGGCACGGGCCAGTAGATAGTTGGACCCTCCGCAAGCCACCTGAGGTAGTGTGAGGCCACACGCTGAGCCATCACTGCCGCCGTTTCCTCGGGCGTCTGGTTGTCGCGGGGCCATCCTCGCTCAATGGGCAAGCCAAACAAGCTGGTCTGCAGCCACGGCATGACACAACCAGCATCACATCGATGAACAGCATGCCGTGTCTGTGGTGGAGGTACCTCAGACGTGTTTGCGGTGCCGTCTTTGGTGACGCTGGCGGTACACTCGAAGCTCAGCGGGATCTGCAAGGCTGCTCCACTGTCACAAGCCTGGATGGGAGCCGTCGACGGGTCAGAGCTTCCACCCATGATCTTGCATAGATCAAGAAGAGAAAGCGGCTAGAACGCCATTCTCATCCTACACATGCCAAACGCATCCGTCGAGGTCGCGCAGGAGCTCCGTCAAATGTGCGAGCTTCGTTCCTCCCCGGCTAAGCTCGCAGAGGTGGAAATTATTCCTCGAAGGCGGCTTGATGGTGTGCGAAAAGGCCGGTGAGGACCTTTCCTGCAGTTAGCTCAATAGTGGATCTGCTGGGCGGTAAGTCCCAGAGTAAGAGTGCTTTTACTTTAATAAGACCGATGGACTGGCCAATTAGTCAAAGTTATTTCTGTCCATGTATGGCATTAGTCAAAGTTATTTCTGTCCATGTATGGCATCATGAAGGGTGGTCAACACAGATCTCACTTCGGTGATGGCTGATAAGATCGTGTCTCCTCAGAATGCTTTCCTTGTCTTTTCTTGTCTTCTCCTCT